CATTTTTAGGCCTTATTATACTTTGGCGTTTTTTTGTCTATTTACCATACTATACTATGTCGTTTTTTTTCCATTTTTAGGCCTTACTATAATTGGTGTTTTTTTTTCACTTTTTATGCCATACTATTCTATGTTGTTTTTTCACTTTTTTTGCCATACTATACTATGTCGTTTTTTTTTTTTTTTTTTTTTTTTTTTCCATTTTTATGTCATACTATACTATGACATTATTATGCCTTCCTATATTATTGCGTTTTTTCACTTTTTATGCTATAGTATACTATGTCGTTTTTTTCCATTTTTAGGCCTTACTATACTTTGGCGTTTTTTTATCACTTTTTATGTCATACTATACTATGGTGTTTTTTTTTTTTTTTTCATTTTTATGCCATACTATACTATGACGTTTTTTCACTTTGTATGCCATACTATACTATGACATTATTATGCCTTCCTATATTATGTCGTTTTTTTTCCTTTTTATGCCATACTATACTATGTCGTTTTTTTTCCTTTTTATCATACTATACTATGACGTTTTTTCGCTTTGTATGCCATACTATACTATGTCGTTTTTTTTCCTTTTTATCATACTATACTATGACGTTTTTTCGCTTTGTATGCCATACTATACTATGTCGTTTTTTTTCCTTTTTATCATACTATACTATGACGTTTTTTCGCTTTGTATGCCATACTATACTATGTCGTTTTTTTTCCTTTTTATCATACTATACTATGACATTATTATACCTTCCTATATTATGGCGTTTTTTCCCTTTTTATGCTATAGTATACTATGTATTTTTTTTCCATTTTTAGGCCTTACTATACTTTGTTGTTTTTTTCTCTTTTTTTTTGCCATACTATACTATGGCGCTTTTTTTTTCCATTTTCATGCCTTACTATACTATGACGTTTTTTTCAATTTTTAGGCCTCACTTTGTTTTCATACCTTTATACACTGACGCTTTTTCATTTTTTATGCTTTATACTACGACTCATGACATGTCTTTGTTTCAAGAGTGATGTTACCATATGTCATCAGAAAGAGGATATATTATGATGTGTATATATATCCTCTGGATATATAGAAGATAGTTTTTAACATATGAAATACTCATAGCAAAATGCACCTCATTAAAACATTTTCATTAAGACAATCAAATACAAACATAATCTCTATTTTCTCATTAAATTTAAACATAGGCTACATGTGTATATTTATATTTACATGTAGAATAACATAATTACATGATTTTTCTGTCAGATATAAATTGGAACAATATCATTTGTCAATATTATTCCAATTTATATCTATGTCTAACAGGCTTCATATGCAATTTTTACATACACATTTTGCTTCATGTGTTACATTTGCTTATGGGCATTCCTGAATGTAAATTCAGATCTTGTATGTTAACTGACAGCAGTAAAAAGCCAATCTCTTTGGTAGGGATGTAACAACCCCACCACCCCTCTAATACAATGTTGCGACCAAACCTACGCCCTTGCCCTTAATCCATTTCAACATCTTTTCCATTATGCACATGAAGCTGTGAAAATGAATATTGAGTTGTTCAGCATGAAGTCATATGTATGTGTCAATTTGGATCTCACTGAAATATGCAAGTCCTTTTCTGGAATTCTGTGTCAGGTGTCCAGACCCCAACCTACTTTTTTGTAGCACATTTTTCTACAAGCAGGACTGAGTTTCAGATGTTCCCAGACCAACCCCAGCAGGGTTTTGCTCTGTACTGTAACATATCTATTTCAATATTTCACTGTGCTGTCTGACAGTGTGTTCAGTGTATTTACAAATTTTCAGAGGTGAGTGTTGGGTACTTTCCACTACTGTTGATGGCATACTAAATACATTTTTGTGCTGAACTTACACATTTTAGTGTTGAGTATTTAACAGCTGTAGTTACTAGTTCCATTTACATACATAGATTTAACTAACCAACAGTATATAAAATAGTTAAAATTTACTTTAGCTAAACCAGTTCATATATATACAGCACACAACACTTACAAACACAAGACATTACAGAATACACAAAATGATGAATAAATTAAGTCTACCTGAGCCATCATCAGTTTGTGGTTTTGTCCTTCAGTACAGCCTATGTAACCTTCTTATTTTAGGCTACTGTTTTAAAATTGTAACTGATAGAGGCACTAAGGTGTTTTTTCTTTTTTTACTACACTCATTCACTTTGCCCTGCTGAGCTCTGCATCGTCTGCCTGATGGGAACAGCTCATACTGAGAACAGAATATGGGATGGATTATAGAGGATTCTCTGTACCTGTTTACACACTGGTCAAAAGGATACATTTAGCTGATGACTTTTACTTAAGATTTTGAATGCAGGACTTTTACTTGCAATGCAGTATTTGTACATTGTTTTATTCCTACTTGTACTTAAGTAAAAGATCTATTCATTCTCCTCCACTAGCCATCAGACAGTGCCCATTATTATCTCAGAGGAAAAAAGTCATGTTAGTAAGTGAGCCTATCTTCTCATTAGAGGGAGAGACCACCTGCTCCAGCCCTCCAGTGGCCAACTCTGTCAAGAGTGGTGAAGTTTCTGTGTACCAAGTGGGAGACAATGTGACCGTCACCTGCAGTCAGGGTTTCCAACTGGATGGAGCTCAGCAGGTCACCTGTGGCCCTGATGGCCAGTGGCACCCTCAGCTCCCTCAGTGTCTGCCTTCACCCGAGGATAAAAGAGAACAGCCGCCCACCAAGGAACAGCCGTCCACAAAGGAACAGCCGTCCACCAAGGAACAGCCATCTAACAAAGAACGTAAGTTTATTTCTACTGAATAGCCAATTGTGTAGCATCTCAGTTTAGATACACAAATGTCTTTTTGCCATCTCCTTTCACCTAACTGACACATTCCTCTCCAGCAAGTGGATGTGATGTCCCTCAAACCACCAGCAACTCCAAAGCCACCCTTGCTGACAAGTACATCACACAGACATCTTTTGCTTCTGGTGAAAGAGTTTATTACATGTGTAATGTTGGCTACATTCGAGCTCGTGGCAGCAGATACCGCATGTGCAAGGATGGAGAGTGGACACGACTGTTCCTAAAATGTAGACGTAAGAATTTTTTCATATGCCTTACACAGTCGGACCTTTTGTGTAAAAGTGTTTTGTGTTTTTTATAAATTATTTTGTACATTACTGAACAGCTTATGAATTGTCATGTGCAGTATTGTGTAGAACTGCAGTAATATTGTTGTTCGTCAGAGAAGACTGATTCTCTCTGAAGGATGATTTTGCATCTTAAGCTTCTGTAAGTCTTCAATGCTACAGCATGCTTTTAGGTACTGCTTGTCTGCTGTTCTCCATGCAGCCACTGTTTTATCTTTTCATACTTCAGAAAAATAGACTCCAGGTCTGTATTAGGGCTTCATCTATCATCATGATGCTCTGGCTTTTATCTCAGACTTACATCACTTTTGCATGATAATGCAGTGCAGACCTTTCGCATTCAATTTATTAAATGGCTGTGGTGATGACAGCTTTATTTTCACAAAATTAAAAGTCAATAGGTAATCCAATGATAATCATAAATCAAGTAAGTTTCAAGTCTCGAACTTGCATATAATGGTGAATGAAAAGGAAACCAATGTGAAACTGAGGTATAAATGAAACCATTTAGTAACCCTGCCCCCCTTTTTAATCACTGCATTTGCACTTTATTGTATAATCTCCAACGCAGTGGACATGAATATAAAAACTATTTTTCCAAGTGCATAATGTCCTGTCAAATTAAAATTGTCTTTTCGTCCTCAAAAGCAAAGCCATGTGGGTCTGCAGGAGAGATTCTAAATGGCCAGTTTATATATTCTGGTGTCGTGTTTGGACACACTGCTACAGCTGTCTGCGATGAGGGGTAGGACAATGCTGCTTTCATACAAACTGTATATTTAACTTTTACATTCTTCTGTACTCTCACTCAAACTGATGCCTTCTATACATCCTGTCATCAGGTACAGTCTTGTAGGACGGGCAACCAGAAACTGCATGCCTGCTGGATGGGATGGACGTGTTCCTGTTTGTGAAGGTGCAGCCAACAAACAAAACATTTATCATTTTAAATTTCCTGATTCTCTTTAGCCATTTTAAAACTCTTGTATCTCTTCCAGTGATGGTGTGTGAAGAGCCTGAAGTGACAAATGCTGAGATGATAGGCATTCAAGAGACTTACACATACAAGGCTGTACTTCGCTATCGCTGTCGTGTGGGAACCCTTATTGGACAAATGGATATTTCGTGTACCAAGGATGGGACATGGAGTGCACCTCCTCCCAAATGCCAAGGTCCTAGATATTAGTGATGCAGCAATCCTGATATATTTACTTTTTACTTTCTTGTCATGAACAGAATAAAAATGTAGTTCCTTCTTCTCGTAGAAATGACATGTCCACCTCCAAATGTGCCTAGCGCCTTCTGGATGGGAGCGTACAATGACCGCTATCAATATAGGGATACTATATCAATTGCATGTAAGCCAGGCTACACCATGATTGGCCCGAGCATCATTACCTGCGAGAATGATGGCCGATGGTCCCCTAGCCTCCCCAAATGTAGACGCACACGTAAGTAAACAACTTGTTGTACATGAAGCACTTGGTATACCACACTATAAAATTTTATCATGCCTATTTTTTTCTTTCCTTTTAGTACAACAGCACTGGAGGAGCTAATGAGCTACAACCTGCTTAAACCATTCAACAGCAGCCAGTGGATGATGATGATAAAGATGATCTCTTAAGCTAACATAATCTACCCTCTAAAAGAAATGCTTCTTTTAAAAGCCACCTTTTCAATAATGCACTAATCATAATATATTATTTGCTGATGAAACTTGTATGAACTTATTATACAGACATTAAAATTAGTTTGAAATGAAGCTGAAGTACAGTATGTTTATTTCGGTAAGCGTTTTGGGCAGTAACAAGTACAAACTTGTTTCATTCACCTCTGTACAGTTGTTTTTTTTTTTTTTTTGTTTTTTTTTTCTTTTTACAGTTGATAATGTTACTGTATGTGTATCATCTCTATAGACTAAACGGTGAGTGAACATTTCATGAACAAACAAGCTACAAGAAAATAAGAACACCAATTCCATTCATTTAAAAAGACAATACAAAATCCAGACATTTCTTTACATGAGCAATAACAATTCAAGTGCAAATATCATTATCAACTCTATGATACATCATAGCAAACTCTCGTTAAAAGGCAACAATAAAAAAACAAACAAAAATTTATCAGGTTGCAGGAAAGAAGCTGTTTTTTGTTTTTGTTTTTTTTTTTTTTTTTCGGGGTGGGGGTTGGGGAATGAGGGCATGTGGGCCGAGTGAGCACACTGGGATGCTGCGTGATGGCGTCTACATAGATATAATGTAAATAATCTGACTGTTTGCATTAAGTGAGATGTGTAGAGAGGAATTTTAATCTGACATGATTTCTTCATGGCATGGCCCAGCATTTCCCTCAACTTTGACTGTGGTCAAATTCCCTTTGTGTCATCCTAAAGCTCAGGTACTGGCTGGTACATGATATGAGCTGTACCATCCCACTTCTTAAAAAAAATTATTTACATGAGTGGGGACAAAACATCCTTCCTGATATATAATCATTAGACATCAGAGTAAGCATCAACTTGATTTAATTTCTTTAGAGGGTTAAGGGGAGGGGGTTATCATTGTCACTTGCCCACTGACCATGTAGTGATCTGTACTGATTCAACTGCAGTGGTGGTGATAATGACTTTAAAGGAATAGTCCTGACATTTTGGGAAATTTGCTTATTCACTTTCTGGAGGTTACTGCGCCTGGTCTAGTTATAGTTGTAAATCTCCCCCACAAACCACAACTTCTTGTTTTTACCCTCTGACTTTTGTACCATTTTAAACAAACAAGACGATGTGTTTATCAGTGAGCTTTAGAGGTGAGTTGGGCAGGTTTCGTTAAGCTTTTTGACAGAGCCAGACTAGCTGTTTCCACTCTTTAGGCTAAGCTAAGATAACCAGCTGCTGGCTATAGCTTTATATTTATTGTACAGTCGAGAATGGTATCAATCTTCTCATCTAAGTCTGGACAAAGAAGTAAACAAGTGTTTTCCAAAATGTCAAACTATTCTACTTTTAAACTATTTTACAGATCCTTACATGAAGAAAAGTTAGATTTTTACTAAACATAAATTATTTTACCCTGTTTTGGTCACTGTTTTGAAATCACTTTTTTTTTCTTTTTACACACCAAATACAAATTTTTTACACATAACAGACTTAAATTTTTTTTTTTTTTTTTGGGGGGATTGGAGTTACATGTTTAAACCTAACATCTTCTGCCCATAGTGACTGATAAATATTTCATACAATGAGTCTCAAAAAGACTGCAGCCCAAAACACATTTCACAACCTTTATGTGGGCATAACCAAGATTAGGGTGTGTTATCTTCATTCATTGCACTTCATACTAAAAAGGTAGGATGATGGGTTCTAAATGTAGTGCACAAAATGCCTTGACCCGCCCCTTTTTGGGCGGTCTTTGGAAGAGCTGTCTTCATTGGGACAGAACAAAATGTTTGTGGGGTGTTTGGAGGGGGCACTGGGTGTCTTTGGATTTGAGACAGGTGGAACAACAAGGGCAGAAAGTGATTTTGGGGGGCCTGCGTTTAAAGAAAAAAAAAAAGAAAAAAAAAATAGGATTAAAGAATTCAACCCTCGTCTAATTTATTTTCATTATTTACAAGATTGAAATAAAAACACAATAAAACTGGTAGTCCACAGACAGGCAATGTGAGATTATCAATTTACTGTGTGTGAGAACTAAAGTATTTCAGATTCTGAGCTTTCTTTTGTTTTAAACGTATAGACTATTAATGTGTAGAGTACATCAGAAAGACAGTGAGATTGAAGAATTAAAGTGACCTTTTTAAAAGAAGCAGCAAACATAATGTCCCTCAAAGACATTCTCTCTCTCTCACCGAGACATGTTCCACTAGACATCACATTCTCATTTCTGTGGCTCTTACAAATGTTAGTTTGTTATTCATCTCCCAAATGTTCACTGTGTTCCTGGATTGATAAACCACCTTTTTGTATTTGCTTCAAGTTGGCTTCAAAAAGCAACAGAAATTATCTCAAGGTTGGAAAATACCGGTACAGTCTAGACAGACGGACCAAAACACAGATTAACTGTTTTAACAGTAAAACTCTTGGAAATCGCTCTAAGAGCTCAAATATAGTAAGGCTATAAATGACCTGGAACGCAGCTGCGACATGAATTTAACAACTGCTCCTCCTCGAGGACAGCACACAGACACGGAAGATGGAACCAGGGTTACACAACACTTACACAACACTTACAGTCATACTTAATGGTAGGAGCTGGAGCTGGAACTCATTTACGCAAACACAATAACTATCAAGCTCAAACTGCGCACACAAAACGCCACTCCTGTCTGAAATGGGCGTTTCTATTGTTTTGTCTTTTTTTGTTTGTGTGGTTTCGTTGCACAACACAATAGAAACCAAACCCACTCATATACTCTATATCCCACTAAATGATTGAGCTCGGGACTGCAGACCTGTGTTGAATGGAAACTGACAAAATAAAACCTAAAACACAAATAATGTTCAGTATTTTTCAGGTCTGCATAGTGTTTATTGTCAAAGCCTATGGAAAATAAGAGGGTAAACATGGTGGTATGTTTTGTGTTTTTTTTGTTTTTTTTTTAAGCCCTGTGGGAGTTGCGGGATGTGGCCTGGAAGGTGGAGGGGGATGTCGGGGGCTCGCGATCCGGTGCGTCAGCAACTGTGTGACCTTTTACTTGTATGGTCGCAGAAAAGCTGAGACTTTGCTGCTTATGAGACGTATGAAGGAGCGAGGCAGCATCTCGTTGGACTCCCGAGTGGTGTACTTAAAGTAGTTGTTAGGGTGAGCCAGCACATCAAAAAGAGTCTTAATCAGTTTTTTATCCTGTTGGGAAGAAAAAAACCATGTGTCAATGGAATCACATATTTTAGTTAACAATTGTCTGAATTACATTTGAAGCTATTACCCAATAAATTACACACCTACTATATGACGACAGTAACAAACCTTTTCAATATCAATGTGCCATCTGACTCATAGAAATACTAATATGTTAGTAACAGCTTTGTTAAGCCCAACAATACCTTTTCATCTACAGCTTATTGCTTAACTGAGTCACCTCTTTGCTGTAACAACAATAAGTAAAGACTGAACTAAACACAGTAAGAAGTAAGAGTGCCAACCTTGAGGATTTCTTGATGGTTTTCTGAGGCGTACAGTCTTCCATCTCGCACTATGTCCTCTACGAGCTGTTCGTAGTCCTCTGAATTCATAAACGCACGATACAACACAGGAAACACAATTACTAGTCACCTAATGACCTGCTGAAAAACACGTCATGCATATCAACAGCAATATGGTGAAATAATAAAATACACAGGTGTGGCCAAAACAAACAAATAGAACGGAAACTCCCATTGACTCAGTTACCTGTCACCATTTCAGGAAAGGTAAGATGCTTTCCCAATGTTGTGAGTCGAGCTAAACTGATATTAGCTTGTTGTAGACATAGTGGTATCAATGTACATGTCTGCCGAGAAGTAACAAGAAACTGCAGTAATTCCAAAGATACTGTATGTTTGAGATTATTTAGAGACAGGGTCACTGTTACATAGATTGTGCTGACAGGTTGTTTTTTTCAATAGATGATATTGCCTGTTTTAAACTCTCAAATATTAATATCAGCTATATAACATACAGAACTTCAAACAAAATTCTCTTCTCCTCCACTGTGTTGGGGTGGAGGCAGAAATCTCTGAGATGAATACTTCAAATCCTGGGCAAATAAAACCAAAAAGTATCTACATGACTGGCCTCTGTCTCACTCAAAGAAAGTGACATTTTCTGATTTTGTTTGTTTACTTTTTTTGTGGTCTGACCCTAAACAATGTAACTTTGCAGCCGCTGTGGCTTATCATAAATGATAATTACAGCATAATGACACATTGAATTTCAATTTATTTCTTGTTATCTGGAGTCAGTTGCTACATTTTTGGTTGTAAAACATGAATTCATGACCTTGGAAACTGTATTTTCAAAAACTCAATGTCCACTTACTTACCTTTTCTGGAGCTTATAACCACATTTCACAGTCTTCCTCAGTAGATGCACAGAGTTTGCTTAAATGAGCTTCTTCCAGCGGTTTTAACTGCTCCACAATGAGATGTGATTGAAAGCTCTGGAAAAAGCTTGTAAGTGGACCTTTAGTTAAGATATTTGAGTAAAAAGTACTTGAAAAGAAGCCATTGAAATCTAGTGTGTGTCAAATGATAAGATGCTATGTGATGTAAACAGCACAGGTGGAGTAAAATGAGTCAGTGATGTCAGTTGCACAGCAGTATCTAAAGTTTGCTATCATTAACCTATTGACAATCATAAGCTATTGGTTATACCTGACAAAGTAAGGCTGCAGTGGTAAAACCCCTGAGAGTGCTGAACTGAGAAAGTGTGTGTTTTTTTGCTTATGATTTCAACTGTTCAGGAAGATTGGGTTGTTGTTTGAAAATTACATAGTCACACTTTAAGGTGATTATAAACTGAGTCACAGAGTTTCTCAGTTTGCAAAATCTGATTTTATAAACACTGCAGTTCATAGTAAAAACTAGCTGGTGTAATAAATGAGCATGTCACATACCATCATAAGTAACGTAGGGGATCTGAAAGCCCCTGGCGCTGTTGGCCTCATTGGACTTGAAGTTGATCCAGAGACGTCTGGAGCGAGCTGTGAAGGCGATAGGCCGCTCGTACGTCTGACATGTCTCATAGGTGGTGATGGATGTGGCTGACCCTTGGAAGAACACAGAGAGGACAACAATGACTAAGCAGGTTTTTGGAACTGTTCTTTTTATGGTGCAATTACATATGTAAACAATAAAATTCCACTAAAGCAAGAACAGGAAAGAGAGGCACTCACAGTTCTTCCTCATAACTAACACATCTCCACACTCATCCTCTGATGGCAGGAAAATCTCCGGCACCACGATTAGGATCTTGCGCTTGCTGGGTGGGTTGATGTTCCAAATACACTCCACATTAGCGGGGTAATTACCGGGATAGTTAGGTGACTCAATATAACCCATGAACTCACCCATCTCTCCACCACATTGCCTATCTAGACATACACAAACAAAACTAATTAGATTCCCGCTCATGTTTAAAAAATCTGACACAAAACAAAAGTCACTTTCAGACTCACTCTTGCACTGAGAGACGCTTGTGGCGCCATCAAAATCAGTGGTGGTGTTCCCAGGGCAGGAAATACAGTAGTTCTGTCTAAACTCAGTCTGATAGGTCCCCACGGGGCAGCGGATACACCGGTGTACTGTAGTGTTGTAGTAATGACCTGGAGAACACTGAACTACAGGATAAAATCAAAGAAACATGTTAGTAGTGGGCAAGACTTTACAGATTATTCAAGTATATTTTCCTGCCTGTACAAAAAGAGTAAAAGCTGACCTTTGACTTCACAGTCATGGAAGGAGCTGGCACCCTCCCGCTTGGTGCTCAGTCCTCCCCCACAGGGGAAGCACAGGGTCCGTCCCAAATCTGGCTGGTATGTGCCCTGAGAGCATGGCTGACAAGGTTTGAACCCATCGCTGGAGAAGGACCCTGTTGGACACTGGCCTGGATTTGATTTGAAGAACACAGAGAGCAGCTTTACTAAAGACAGCAGCTCTCCACTGGACCAGAAATACATACATACATATACATACATATTTAATATTGTCTCTGGGACTTTAAATTAGGCTACCTGCGCAGGAGGAGATGTTTCGTGCCCCGACCGGCCCGTGGCCATCACTGCCAGGGCAGAGGTCACAGGCCAGCTGCCCCTCCTTCTCCTGGAAAGTGCCTGGGGGGCACTGGACACAGCGCTCCTGCTCACCATGGTAGTAAGACCCTGGCAAGCATCTGACTGAGAGAATATCCACAATGGCTCCAGTCAGAGATGACACACATAACTTAAGTTTAAAAAAAAACAAAAAAGCATGCAAACCTTGAACTCTGTTTAGATTTTTTAGTTTTCTGGTTGATACAGCACAGGTGACCCAGTAAACCTGGATGTACTGTACTCTCAGTGGCCACTTTACTAGATAAACCTGTACAACATCTTCATGAAGATCAAAATGTTCAGTCTTTGTTGGAAACGTGTAAAACCAGTTATATGTTTATTATTGAGGTAATAGTTAAAAGTGGTGTTGTACTTGACTACATTTCATTGAGAGGTGTTTAAAATGTGCAACGGACTATGACCTCACTGCCAAAACAGACTGTGTAATTGAATTAATACCGCTAAGACAATGTCCATAAAAGCCAAACATGTTTGGCATAAAACTAGATTTATTTATTTAACTAGTCTTAGACTCTACAGGTGTACTTGATAAAGTGGACACTGACTATACACCTTACTTCACATGACCCTGTATTGCAGATTATAACAGTGTGTGGTTTAATATAAGGTTAGATTCTCAGTCTGCCATTGCTAATTCTCAAATCCAATATATTTGCACATCAGAAAAAAAAAACAGCTCATCTGACTCTCCTGGTCCCGCTCTCTGCTCTTACCACATCGGCCACTTTCCCTCTCCCAGCCTGGCCCGCAGTTCTCCTGACTGGGAGCAGCCTGGGGAAGTTTTTGTGCCACCTCGTATTCCAAACCAGCGACTCGGATCAGGAAGCGCTCCTGGTTGATGGACTTCTTCAGAGCCTTGATGTAGGTCTTAACCTGCTTCTCCATGCGCTGTCTCAGGCAGCTCAGATTGCAACTGCCTGGTTATGGGTAAATAAATAAAAACAATACTTAGAAAATAATTATGGCCTTGACTGAGATTGGAATCTATTGCACAATGAAACAATCACGAGGTCGACACAGGTAGTAATTGTTTGGAAAGTTTTTGCTCCAGATAAAACGACTGACCTGTAGTGTCTCCAGGTTTGACCTCAGCTTCCAGCTCCAAAGTAATGCGGGTTACCTCTTTGTTAGAAGGGTTGCGAGCACGTCGCCCTTTAGCTTTCTTGGAGGAGTCACATTTGAGGTTGACAAATGTTACAAGGCAGTTGCTGCAGGGCTGCCCCCCTCCTGTAGACACATGATATTACATAGTCTGAGGCAATACTGTGTAAGAAAAATCTGTGTATAGGTGAAAAAAATTAAAAAATGTTCTTTAAAGTTTGAGAGTTAGTCTATAATTTCTTGGAGGGTATGGCTCAAGGGTGACAGACAGATCATTAGTTGCCATATTAGGGCTGCAACTAATGATTGTTTTCATTATTGATTCATCTGATTATTTTCATCACTGAAAAACTAATTGTCTTGTCTATAAAATGTCAGGAAATTTGTGAAAAATTCTCATTAATAATCAGTTACGTACAGTATCTACATCACAAAGAGCAAATCCTAACATTTGAGCAGCTGCATGAACATTAGAAACAGTTAATCCACTATCAAAAAAGCTGTCGTCACTAAACTTATTAATCAACTGTTTCAGCTCTCAATCATATATCCCTTTCAATTTGCATAAAAAAGATCATATGTATTCCACAGCACACACAGATAGCGCAGATAGCAACTGACCTGGTCCTAGTGTCCGTCCCCTGTCCTCCGTCCTGCCTGTCAGTTTAGGGTGCAGGTGACATTTGGCGTTTTTAATCTTGAACGAAGCCGTCTGCTTCACTGGAGGGGCCAAAGTCTCTACAGACAAACACAGCAATAGTGGGTAGGGGCACACTGACACATCGCAACAGCAATAACAGCAGATACTGTAGTTCTGTAGTCATTGCATCACTGAAAAGTGTTTTTTAAGAATCTGGAGGGCAGCGAACCTATGCAGCTCTGACTGCTGCTGGAGTTGAGCCTGGCAGGAGACTTTCCTCTGAGGATGGGGATGCCACAACTGACCGAGTAGCTGTTGTCAGACTCTGCAAAAAGGTCAAACACAAACCAAATAAGTTTGTAAAATGTTTCTCACTTTCAGTTTAAGGGACAATCGTGTTGTATTTTATGACTACACTCTTATTGGGAGGGACATACCTGCCAGATAGTGAGCTTTAGAGGCACAGGTAAGAGAGCAGCTCTCTTTCTTCCCCGTCTTGCTACAGGTCAGAGTGGCTTTTGGTGCGACCAGTCCCGGAGGACATTTCACAAGCTCTGAGAGAAAAAAAAAAAGCACTGAATCACACAGTGTTGTCAAAGAAAGCTGACAGAGAGGCAGAGACAGACACTGTTAAGAGATTTATGTGTTTTGAGTGTGACTCAGTGTGTCGGCCACAGGGGGGCAGTGCTGCTACATACCAATACAGTCTTTCCTGTTCCAGTGCAGCTTGAACCCTGGTGGACAGGTACACTCGTAGCTGCCCAGGGAGTTGATGCAGCCATATTTACAGCCCCCACGATTTATACTGCATTCATCAATATCTGTGAAAGTATATGTTCACACATAGACATTTAGTGTACATGCATAAAATGATTAGTCACACACAATGAATCTAAAATATGAGACAAAGATGACGTCAGAAACTCTGGGAAACGCTGTGTCCAAAACAATCTGGAGTTCATTTTGTTGAATAACGTAAAAGAAAAACAGACTGATTGAGAAAGAGCACAGCTGTGAATGAGGAGTTCCTGTGAGGTCAGTTCAATTCATCCTGTCAGAGAGTCACATTCTGGGAAGATTAATGTGTTTGCATGTAAACAGAAGTGATTCCTCATTTTGATGTCGCCACATTCAATTTCATGGTCAAAACTTCTCTGCTCTTCGGTGAGGAAGACTTGTGGTAAGCAATAAATTATAATCACCTTTTCAAACACATGCTGAGCTCAAACCGCTAAAAGCATCCGGGATCCAGATGCGGGCTTGCTGACATTGACGCCAGACACAAAATTAGTTTAGTGAGTAGGGCTGAGGATGCGCCAGGCCGCGGACAAGTGGCGGAGACACCGGGGACGAGGCAGAGATAATGACAGTGATTGATGATCTGGCCTGCTGATATGAAATGCTCTTCCTTGTCTCATTCAATTATTCACCCTGAATAAAAACAGTCTGTGCGCTTCTGCACTCCCAGTAGAAGATGATGACTTCATCAACAGCGCTCTGCCGATGACTAGCCGGAGCTGCTTGGAAATGTTGTGAGAGGCGCGCTGCTTATCTTCTGCATCAAAGCACACAATTTAAAGGACAAAGAACTCTAATGAATATCTGATGGAAGCGGAGCTCATCTGCCAGCAACTGTTGTTTTAACTTCTTTGTTCCTCCCATTGCCAAGTAGATGTATTCTGACCTTTCTCCTGGTCTCTTTGGTCTTTTTCTTTTTCTCTGCTCTTACAGAACAGAGCAGAGAAGAGCCAAGAAAGAAACGGAGACAGCAAAAAAAAAAAGACAATTTGACATTTAGACTCAACAATTTCTTTGTGTCATGGAGAGGAATTTCAGGGTGGGTGGGTTAGTTCTTGGAAATGTTGCCTTCCTTAAATTTTGATCAACTTTGTGTGCTGACTCATTAACATCAGCAACTTCCAGTCAAAACAACATCGTAATGTGACATTTAAAGTGGAATTTCTTCTCCTGTATTTTATTATTTCAATTAACTTTAACTGTTAGCATATCAACTTAAACTCTGTTGTGTCTGACTTCTGTCTTTCTCTTCCATCTATGTACACAAACATTTGTCAGGACCAAAAGAAAACAATTCTGTTGAGGTCACTGCTGGCTGGATCAAGTGACGTAAATTCAAAAACACTTACAAAGTATTTAGTCACAACTGCTCCGAGTCTATTTTCTTACCAGATAAGCAAAAAATGTGCAGATTGTTTTGTTAGCTGAGAGGGAGAATGGCTGGATATACTCTCACTTGGGAGGAATGTTGACAGGCCTCGGCACAATGCTTGACAGCAGGTCACTGACCTAATTGGGTTTGTTTAGGGTGAGTCTATTGTTAAACACTGAACACAGCTTTCTGGCTTGTTTGACAGCTATATTTCGGCTGATAAACCACACAGAGAACAACGCAACCTTGGTTATGGCCAGGAGTGAAGAAAGTGCAACAGGGTGCGCCATTAATCTCTAGGGTTATCTAACATTTCCGACAGCGCCGATGAAAAGCCTGGGGAAATCATTCATCACCAGCTTTCTCAACAATGGTATAGAGAATCATTTACGCCTGACCATCTTCTCCTCCCAGCAGCTCAGTGTGGTGGCCTGATCACAGTCCATCATGTGAGTAAAAGCCTCACAAATCCAATTCTGGTGCTTTCATTCCCTGAACTGACAACTAATACAGCTGCCTAGTGTGGAATGGATCCTATGACCCTACAAGCCTTTTTTTTTTTAAAGGCAGTCTTACCTTTATTAGATTGCTACAGTAATGATACAGACAGGAAACATCCTGTACATCTACACTTTACCGCTGTCTAGTCTCACCAACATTCCTAATTCTACATTCTGTTGCAACATTTCTGATCAGTAGACCTGTCAAACTACAGACCAGAAAAAAAAGAAAAAAAAAACATAGAACAAATCACTGCACAGCTATGTATTTCAAGTGCATAGACTGTCTCTCTCTGTCTCTCCCACAACTACTGTGAGGCCCTGAGGTGCTGGAGACAGCAGCAGATTCTAACTGGTGATACACACTCCATCAAAGGGCCGCCGCAACATCCTGATGTGCTCTGGCGGGCCTCTTGCTGCCTGCCAGGCACATCTGACGCGCCCCCACACATCTCCTCCCGACACCAAAGGCTGTTTCTGATATTTGTTCTGGGCCAGAGTACAGTAGGTACCTGCTAATGTTTGATGGACATGGCCATACTCCACCTTGAAGGGCCTTAGCTGTGGTTTTTCATGTTTTAGTCCATTAACTACGGCACAAAGCGTCTACACTTTACATTTCTGCCAACTGTAGAGTAAGTTTTCAGACTGATTTCCTGCCTTCCAGGCAGCCACCTGTTTCAGCTCATTTCAGTGCATTTGAAAATCCACTTTCAGAGACTTAAAACTGGCTTGAGATGTGTAATCCATCAGAGTGAGCATTAAGTTACATTTAGCTTTTGTCCAAGAATGCAGATGCATGCAGGTACTCCTCCATGATGATGACAACTGACAACAACACTGACCGATAAAGGCAAGTCTATGATGTCAAAATTAAAATAGCTTTCAAAAGAATTGCTTAATACTCACTTTAATACTACTACTACAACCACTACTACTACTACCACTACTACCACTACTACTACTACTACTAATAATAATAATAATAATAATGATAATAATAATAATAATAATGGGCACATCAGTGTTTTGAGCTAAATGCTAATGTCAGCAGACTAACATGTTCAAAATGACAATTGTAACATCCTGATGTTTCGCAGGTGTAATGTTTACCACACTCAACATCTTAATTCAGTATGTTAGCATGCAAACATTTGCCAATCAGCACTAAACACAGCTGAGGCTGATGGGAATGTTTTGCAGGTATTTGGACATAAACCAAAGGACTGGAGAAATTGACCTGCTGATGGTGTGAGAGGAAAAAGTAAAGGGAACACCAAAATTATTACAATTCATCCTGAGGGGGTAAAAAGTTTTGTAATAATAGGTATGGTAAATGTCTCAACAGTGGCTGAGGCATTTCACTCAAAGCCACAGATGTCAAAGTTAGACATGTCATCAAAGTTATCATGATTCATTCTCTGGGAACTCTGAATGTCTGAACAAATCCATTTAATAGTTGTTGAGATGTTTCAACCTGGACCAAAGGAGTGGACTGACCACTGGACCGACAGTCCCATCCCTTGAGCAACGATGCTATTATGGCTAAAAACTATCCGGTAAGGTAGGAAACCAAACTAAAAGACTGAAGTGTGCCTCTGAAATTTATCACAAGTTACAGACAGGTGACATATTAAAGGAAACAACCTGAAAAATTAGTGGAGAAACAGGATGACAATCCCCCCACCCACAGGGCATGAGGGGTCACTGAATGGTTTGATGAGGATGAAAATGAATCATATGCTATGGCCTTCTCACATTTCCACCCAATTGAACACCAACGGGAGATTTTGGACCGACATGTAAGACATGTCTTTTGGAAGAATAGTGTTTATGCCTCCAGTAGAGTTCGGAGACTCCATGAAAATCAATGCCAAGATGCACTGAAGCTGTTCTGGCAGCACATGGTTGCCAAACACCATACTAACACACTTACTGTTGGTTTTTCCTTTAATTCGTTACCCGTCTGTATCTCAAGTACATGATATGCTTTATTATTTATTAGTATTAGATATATAATTTATCAGTTAAAACTCTGGTACGGTCCTCTATGTAAGCTGTCAGTCAAAATTCATATTACCATTAATAATCTATTTCCTGTGTAGTTGTGCTTTTCCTGCCAAACATAAGAGCAATTAATGGAGGGTAAGCAAAGAGGTGTGGGCAGGAGATTTACATCTAGAGACAAGGGTAGTGTGATGTGTGATGTGTGTGTGTGTGTGTGTGTGTGTGTGTGTGTGTTGTTGTGTGGTGTGTGGGGTGTGTGTGTGTGTGTGTGGGGGGGGGGGGGGGGGGGGGGGGTGGGGGCTCACCTCCGCAGTGTGCCAGGCCGTAGAGGACGTAGCCTTTATGACAAAGACACTGGAAACTGCCGGCAGAGTTGACACAAAAGTGGTCACAGGCACGGTCAAAAGAGCATTCGTCAATGTCTGTATAGATAGAAAGACGTGCAGTTAGAAACTCGTCAAATAGTTGAACAAATTACAAACAAAATAAATAAATAAAATTTCAAACAAGACTCCCTGTCCTATCATGGCATATTTTCCTCTTTTCATCTTTGGTATTGTATTCATAGTTTGTCATGAATTGCAATGGGTCAAATCACATGTCACAACAACAACAACAACAACAACAACAACAACAACAACAAAAGCGTCTCCTGAAAAGAAGACATCTCCCGTTTGGTGCTTTGTATAGTGGTTGACCTCCTGCAGTCATGCAGTTTTCCATTTTGATCCACTGAAATGGACTTTTCAAGGTATTTTTGAAATAATAAGCGGCCGCAGCAGGAGTCAAAAGAAAGTCTGCTCCTCACCTGATAATAGGAGCTGACGAGCAGTTTTTTTTCTCCCCACACACGATCTGCCAATCACTTTCCCTTTTCTCCTCTTAACTGCGCTATAAATGACCCAGGACTGTTGGAAACCTCATAATCTGACTTCCCACTCTTTTATTCTGAGTTCATATTTATATCATGCTTTGAATAATCATTTCAAAAATAACAATAATTGTATTATTTAGATAAATATGTCACAGTATGAATGCAGATAAGAAGAAACCTGTTTTCAGACTCTGGTCCTTCTGACCCCGTCAGCCTCGTCACACCTGCAAATCCACATTGCAACAGCTCCATCCCGGCTGTCAGCAGCCTGTCTTATCTTTGTGAGCTTCTCTGCTTCTCTGCTCTCTTACATGTGCATCCTGATAAGTTGCTTAAATGGCATGGGCTCAAAGTCCACTGATACATGAAGCAACAGGAGATGGATGACATTTGGTTTTATTACGATCAAAGTTTCCTTTAATGTCAGCAATCATCTGTGTCAAGCCTAGGCAACACATGCTGGGAAAAAATGGAGATGTGCTACAACTATGCTAGATGTCTAATTGGCTAATTTTAAAAAAAGGTTCTGAGGATTTTCCCAGGAATATCACGCTTTCATCCACTACAGCTGAAGCTCCTCTGGGTTATGAGGCAGCGCCAGCCACCATCAAACAGATGACACAGGTATTTCACAGCAATTACAGGAGTTCAGTCAAATAATGGGTTACCTTGAAGAAACCAAGAAGACAGACTGATAAATGTCTGCACAAATCTTGCATTCACATATTCACTCTTGGCATAATCCTTCATAGACAGTGCAGCTGAACTCTCTGCAGATCAGTAAATACAGTCATTGAGTTAATGCTTGGCAAAGCACCAAAAAGGAGATGAAAAAGTGCTGAGATTTAAAGCTTATTAAGTGATCGGTTTACAAAAGAGAGCACAAGCTTTGGAGGAGATCAACAGGTTAGTGTTTGAAAGTTTGAAAAACCTCAGAATGTTTCATTGTTGCACATATGACTCAACTACACCTCATCTGGACAAATAGATCCTCCCAATTTAGGTTGAACATCCAACAAATAAAATGATCTTTTCAAATGTCTGAATCTGATGCACCAGTTCAATACTGAGTGAAGAAAAGTGACCACAAAAAAAGAAAACGGCAATAGCAAACTTTTACAGTCCTTGCTATTTGTCCGCACTGTTACCCCCAAGAGATTCATAGCAGCAACAGGGAGCAGCCTGAGCTGGCACATGCTGTATGAGGCATTGCAAAAGTGATTGCTTTTGGCGCATGAAGTATAAACTATGCTTGGTTCACTTTTAAGTGAAAACCCTCTGGGAATTAGGCGTGGTGACCGAGTTTACCCTAAAAAAAATGTTGCACTAAGTGACGCCAGAAGTTGATCTGCAACTTATCATTATATCGTTTTCTGTTGCGCCCAGCTACAGAGTGGATGTGTGAACACATCTGGGACTCCTACAACCCTTATTTACCGAGAATCTAAGGTGAAGTATGCAGTGGGCAGGCAAGACAGCATCATGAGGTGAAGTACGTGCTGGGGACCATGGAAAGATTAAGTGAGAGCAATCATATTGCTGCCTAACTCTGTCTAAAGCCTGAAAGACTAAGATGGGAATCACAAATCAGAGATTCCATCAATTATTTAATCTCTTTTCTCTCTCTCAGTTCATCACTTTAATCTCCACCCAAAATAAAATTCTAGGGAGGTAAATGAGGTAGACTGAAATTAAGAAAAGGTCACTGTTGTTTATACAGAACAGATAAGAGCTTTATCATAGATGTTCCCTCTGGAGAAAACATGAAGTCAGATGAACATCTCCCTGAGTGCCCTCATGTGGATTAGGAGTGAGAAAGAGATGAGAAGGAGACTTTGGAGGGTGTTGAGGGTCGAGGAATGCTGACAGGGGCTCAGCAGACATGTCCCATCCTGACTTATGGGCCATGGTCCACTGACAGCAGGGAAACACCATGACTGTTTAAACCAAGATAAACCCAGAGTTCAGTTTACACATCTCAACACCTCGCGGAGACAGCAAGCATCTCTTTAAGTGTCACACCACCAACCACCAGCATCTATTATGTCCGCTACGATTAATAAAACTACAGTACGATGGTTGTGCAATTACTGCAGGTTCACTTAATCTTCATCTGCCTGCTCTGGATTTATGCCCCTAAGTGAGATGCATGATGGGGGTTATTATATTTTGTTTTGTTTATATAAAACCTTATTAGACAGATTTTACACATGAAGATCAGCAAGTGAAAACAGATGTATAATGTCATCTGTGGCTCTGCAGTAGCACCAAGAAAATAACCCTGATGATGTCATACTGATGTCATCAGGGTTATATTGAATCGGGCTTGGAAAATTCTTCTCAAAGTGAAACTCTTGGTTATAAATATATGAGCATTTACTTGGCAGTGAGGATTGAATAAAAGACACTATCCAAAATATAAATTATTAAACTTAAGCACATAAATTATAAACAATACAAATAAATAATACAGTAAGAGATAAATAAAAAATAGCATATATTGATCATCAATATAAATTAAAGGTTACTACATGAAGCTCTATTAATTCATAGTTTTACACATCTCAACTGTTCTTTTGCAGATTTTAAATTTGTACATTTCAGGGATTTACAACATCCAGAATTTGTTGTAAAAAGCATTAAAAGTGAGTGTGTATTCATGAATTTTGCTTTTGAATGTTTGGGGTTTTTTTTCTACTCAGACACATGCCATTGATCTATAATACCACGGTTACCTTGCCTTGTTGTTTCTAAATTCATCGTTACATTATGGGAAATGTAGGTTCCGGTGTGTTTGGAGTTAGACCCATACTAGGGATTAAAAGTCAGGATCTCTCAGCCTCTGCTGCTTTGATTTTGGCCATTTTTTTTCCAATATGACTTTTGTGATTCTCACAACTTTATGAAAGTAAAATACAAAATCCCTGGATCACCACTTTAATTACAGATTTGCATACTAACATCAACACCAAGAATCACACGGGCAGCTGCACCATAAGAGTTTCATTAAGATATAGATGAACCTCTACTGAGAGGCATTCTGCTCTTATTTTGCCCGACTCTCACTCCATGGGTGAGAAAAATGACAGGAATGAGAGGACAGGATAAGGAGCAGACAGGTGACTCAGTAGTGTGGAGTGTGTGAGCCTGGCAGCACCTCACTCAAAGGGAGGTGAGCTTTATCACAGCCCGTCTCTCCAGACAAAACACACAACACCAAACAAGGACAACACTGTTCCAGAGTCGCCCCTGTGCACCCAAACAGTTGGTTAAGGCATAGTGCCACAGAAAACAAGCTGTGATTTACATTCCCACATGCACAGACCAGATTTTCTCAGTTATCTACATTATTTTAGCAAAAATAAACTTTGAATTGTTTGACCCCAAATAATGAGAGAAAGGCATCGCAACGAAAATAGATTCGAAGTGACAAGAAAGTGGCAGCAAAGCACAGCGACATAGTGTGTATTTTCATTGACCACATACGATGTTTGTGTATTGTGTACAGAGTGGCGTAATTCACTGCAGCAATTCAAAACCCATCGCATGACATTGATGTGTAGCAGGCTGGATATTGATTGACCACATCAGTAAAGAAAAGAGAATGAAAAAATAGCATGTCATCTGTTTTTCCACCCGGAGAGAGACCGAGCTCGGCTCCGCTTGTCTTCTTTCACCAGATGTTTCTGTAGTGGCTTGATTCTTTCAAGAACCAGAGGTTTTAGAGTCGGAGCTTTAATTCCCCACACCTGTGTTCGGCCACGGCAAACTCTTTATTTGTTCTGCAGCTAGTCCCCCCCAGCTCCTGCTGAGTGATGGCTGCCACCAAATATAACAGACAAACAAGCCAGAGAGGCCTGGTTTGGTTTCTCTGCAGTCCAGGGGGGAGCAAATTTTTGTGCCACTAGGAAGACATTATTGGTTTACCATTCTGTGTTAAAAACTATATACTGCTTTAAGGTGGCTCTACCTTACAGAAGGTGTTCAGGATGTAGAATTCCACTGGAAAATTATCTTTATTAAAGTGGCAAAAGGTCGTCAAATGTGCTACCTACCTTGACAAGTTCTTTCATTGGTCAGCAGCTTGTAGCCTTTCTTGCAGCTGCATTCAAAGCTGCCCACTGTGTTCCGACACACATGGTCACACCCCCCATTGTTCAGACGGCACTCGTCAATGTCTGTGAGCAGAAAATCATCAAGAAGAATGGACACATCAAATCAAACACCACAAATGAAAATAGGAGAGAAAATAAAACTTGAACCTGCAGTACGTGACTTTTTTTGTCTTTTCTCTGAACGACGTCAAGCAGATACAGAGCAACATTAGCAAAAATTTGGAGTCATGGTTTTGGTCAACTTCTTAGGGAAGTATCTAGCTTTGTTCACCAGCAAAGTATTGTGCCAGTTCACACTTAAAAAGAACTAGATCAAAGTTCAGTTCATACAGATGAAAATGAACTAGCTCATGTTCGTAGTTCATTTTTTAAAATTTTGAACTAAGTTCACAGTTCCAAAAATGAACTAGTTCACATTCATTTGCTCCCTTTTTTTTTTAAATAAATAGGCCACTGTTTTTTTTCAATCCATCACCAGCCCCGAATTATTGCAACTCCCAAACTAAATGAATTATTATATATCCCTGACGCAGAAATTAGTTAGATTTAAAATCCAATATAAATATAATCCGTCTGAGTCTTCACTTGTTTGTCCATAATACTGCTTTAAATGCTCAAACAAACTGGATTTAGCAGTAGTCAATGTGTCTGTAACGTCTGTACCACCAGCACCAGCCATGCTGGGCCGTGTCTGTGGAGACGTCAAGCGGCGTACCGTAAAACTGTCATAAAATGCTCTTGCTCATGTTCATCATTTGCAAACTTTGTTCAAAGCTTTGTTCAGTTCAGCATTAATATTTTTTGTGAAATGTGCTGTTCATTGAACACGTTCATGCACAGCACTGACCAGCTAGTTGCCAACTTTGGTGCTGGGCAGGCAGCATGAAGTCATTTTATTAGGACATTTTTTTGCTGAAAACTGCTGCACACTGCAGCCAAAAACAATGATACTATAAAGCAGTGAGAGTAAATCAAAACCGTGAAGTTGTGGGCGACAAAACCACAAAAATCAACTGAAATGCTGCGTAGAGTTAGGGGGAGTTTTTCTTTAAGAGCGACCCCTCTCACATACAAGTGGTGTTGTTTTCCCATTGTTAACATAAAAATATTGATTATAGCAGCTTTAACAAAAGTTCAGTAAACATTGTTAGAGCTGAACAGTGAGATAGAAGTATAAGAACAAAGATGCTAATGATGCAGAATAATCCAAAATAGGACGATTATGTGTTTGGCTGTACTGGCATGACAGTCTAGAAATGGGATTTCCTTACTGGCCCTCAAAAGGGCTAAAATCAGTTTGCGTGTGACTCTAATGGGCTGCAGCTCTCACATAATAAAAGCCTCATAGCAGTAAGACCTCTAAATCATCATTGTCCATCTCCTTCCATTTACTTTTATTTCTGTAGCCAATACCCAATCGGTATATCATGTGTTCATCCCTGCGTTTGATGCTGCTCTGCCTTGGTAGGTTTGGCAGCGGATCTAATTAAGTCTGAATCATCGTCACAAATGAGGCATCTGTCTCTTGCGGGAGTCTTCATCATCTGGTTGAAATAAATGCATCAGAAATGGAATGAAATAATCCCTTCCTTGCTCCATCTTTGTCTCAGCTCTTCAGAAGTGTCTGGCCTGCAGCGAGCCCCTGTCGTCTGGTGCCAGTGCTGCCAGGATTTGTTTTCCTCTTCTTTCCTCTCAAACCAAACTAATATAAGCCAATGCACTTTTATCAGAGCTGTAAGTGTAACATTACGAGCTGCAGACAGCACACAGATTTCTATCCCAGCCTCTCTGAAAACAGACTGTCCTCAGCCGCTCTACTCTATGAATGTCAGTAGTGCCTTTGTTTCCTCCCTCTCCTAATGTAATTCTCAGTAAGGTTTGGAATTGATTTTATGAGACGTAATATAAAAAACTTGCTACAGTACACAGGTTGCTTGAGTTGAGGATGCGCTGCCAACACTAAGAAAGGCAGAAGATGGTGATACAGTGGGAAAAAAACTGTCACAGAAAACGAATGGCATGACAAAAGATTACTCAAATTATGCTGCTGAAAAGCAGAAAGTAAGGTGAGATTGGTGCTACTAGTGAGGATACATGACAAAGATTGTAAATGCAATTGTGGGTATGAAACAATAATAGTGTAGTCTATAAAGAGAAAATCTAACTAGAAGTTTGGTGAAGGTGCTAATGTGGAGGGTGGCAACAGCATAAACTCTTGATAATAATACTTATGAGCTCCAAATTGAGAGAGAAGCTCCAGGGTGCCTGGCAACGCAACAAGCCGGAGATAAATCTGGTGACAGCTGGACATGTGCAGGTTGAACGCTGCCTGGAGCGGTGGGTGATGCTTTACCTTTGCATGTCTTGCGGTCGGGCTGCAGAGTGAAGCCAACAGGACAGCTGCAGCGGACTCCTGTCACTGAATCATGACATGTGCTATCACAGCCGCCATTGTTCACTGCACAGGTCTCTGCAGGGAAACAAGCACTCACAGTCAGACAAACCCCTGGAAAAATATGCAGTAGATGCTGTGTTGACCTAGTTATTTCTCCCCATCGAAACAGCTTACATGCATGCGGGTATAATAGTAAAAATTAGAAGACACAGTATTATATACAGCATTCCCTTTTTTCAGGAGACAAAAATAAGAAGCATAGCAGGATTTCAGGTGTTCAGTGGTAGAGAGAAATGAAGAGGAAGTAAAGATAGAAAACAGAGGAATAAATGCAGCAGCTGAAGGAGATTAACAGTGAAGGAATGGGAGAGATGTTTGTGAATAATGAAAGGTGACAGAAATATTATAACACAGCCAAATATAGTACTTTAAATGTTTTCTTTATGTGTGAATGTGTGTGTAAAAGTAGGTAAGTGTGTGCATGTTTGCTTCTCTTTGGTCAAGGTGAATTACGACCTCCAAAAGTCCCCAGTACTGTAGGACATCTGTCTCCCCTCCATCATGAGGGTACAGGTTTGACTTCGAGACAGATGCAGACAAAACCACCACTTTTTCCTGGTTTTGACAAAACCTTCCAGGCATTTTGGGGATAAAAAAGCAATTTCAGCTACCTGGGCCCTGTGTTGGCTAGACTGATTTGAAAAAAGGGAGGTAGTCAGTCTAGATAGGATGGCGGAGGTCTCTTCTCTAGACAGTGACAAATTTCACAGAGACTTTCATTTTAAGCAACAGTACAGGGGAAAATTCGTTCTTATGTTAGAGCGACCAATGTCTGTCCTAATAGTTTTGCCAGCTTTATAGAAAGCCTCACATACTGTTAAGCAACAAAAAAAAAAAAAAAAAAACTCTTTGCGACCTGAAACAATCACTTTAACTTGCTGTAAGGCAAATGGTCATCCACACAGCTCAACACTTGTGTCTAATGGCTGGCTGGCAGCTTGTCCAAAAAGGAGCCAGCACAGCTGGGTTAGTCAAAGACTTCATACTGGCAAGGAGATAGCAGCTCACACGTGGCACTAAAGAGGGAATGCAGCTGCACTGGTTTTTTTTATAGAGAGCAAGGATCCCTTTGGGGAAACACCTAATCCTCTTCACTTAAATCTAAAACTGCACTGCCTGCAGCAGCCATAATGAAACTTTCTAAAGCTCTTTCCCCCCAAATAAAAAACTCAACTGTAGATTGGAATTATGTATCAAAGGAAAACAGGTGCTTATAGTGATGTAATGTAATGTTTTATAGCCGTTTCATAGACAACAGCTCAAAACAGTTCAGTGGATGTTGTTGCCACAGGCTGAACATGATGCATCAATATACTGGGATAGATTTCAAGTAAATATAAACACAAAGAGTTTAAATAAAAAAATAAAATAAAAAAAAATAAGTAAGTCAACACTGAAAACGTTGCTATAAAGGTCATCTTAGACAATTCACAGTATTTGTGACCTCCCTTTACACCCTACTGTATATGTTCAATAGTCAACTTCTGGCCACTGGTCTCGTTTGTCGATACAGTTCGTCCGTGTTTTGTATATGTTGTCATGATTTGTGAGACACCTTTCCTGGATAACCTAAATAATTTTGCATGTCTGTGATTTGCTGATGCTCCTGCAGTTTAACAAAAGATATTTTCTTTAAAAGTCAGCCTCCATTTAAACTGTCAAATGTTTCCACCCTAATACGAAGCTCTAGCAGTGTTTGTCATTGTGGTTAAAGGGAGATGGATTCAAATTTTAATTAGTATTAGGAAGATTGTGCTATTTTTTCTTTCAAAAATTGGACACTTCACACATCCTTGCAAGATTTAGTACACTCAAGACGGATCAATCTGCTTACAGAGGAGTACTGGGCAGAGGGGAGGGGGCTGGGGGTGGGGGCTTCCAGTTAATACCTCCATCCCAACCCAGGCTTGAGAGTATGGTACTGTGGGTTCATATAATTGCAAAGTGTGAGCAGAGACAGTTGGCAGACGAGACGATAAGACAGTGTCAGGACATGCCTCCAAACCGCTTAGTCAGGCAGCCATCTCACCAAACTGTAATGATCATGTATTAAGAGAGCAAAGAAATATTTCTGACATTATGGTTTTGTGAAGACAGGGGAGAGACACACACTCTGGTATGTGTGTGGGTTTGTGTGTTTTGGATGCACACCAGCCACATCTACAGTGCACCAGGTTGGGCTCTGCAATTACAGTGACGGTGGGCAGACTTTTGTAAATATTCTCCAGTGTGATGTGTAGGGTGTCGGGTCTAATGCTGAGCCTCTACAGTATATGTTTCATGCGGAGAGGTTCAGACAGTGTACATCATCATTTAACAGAAGCCGCGGGATTTAGAGCTGCACCACTTCTTGACTTACTTCAGAGCTGTTGACAAGCAACCTCAGTGCAACTTGTCAGCAGCCATTTATGATGACCGCAAACGAAATACGTCAGCGGGTGAGGGGACAGAATTCACACAAAGGCACAAAGCAACATTTCCCAGAGTGTTGATCACTGAGAATAAATCGCATTTGTGAAAAAGACCTTTTTTTTTTTTTTTTTTCTTTTGAAGGGAAAATACTGTTTCCTTGACCAAACAGCAAACATGCAGCTAGAGTAAAGTTACACAGACGGTGTAAGGGGTTATCAGACAGAGACATGACCACACCCTGAGGTGAATGCTCTCTCAATAACATACACCACACAATAAGAAAATAAAACCAACGAAAACGTCTTTTTTCAACTGTGAAAGTGAACCCCAACAGTGGTTTCAGGAGGGTACAGTAACACAGGAAATCAGGAGACGAACCTGATAAATCAGGAGGTAAAATACGTCCCTTGCTCTTAATGTTTCTATTTCTGAGAAGAAAAAAAAAAAAAAACAGAAACTAGGGCACAAAATCCTGAAATAGGTCAGACTTTTATATCGTAGCATGTCGGGAACGCAGTGTTCATGTACATACAGTAGTAACAACTAGTTACTTAAAAACACTATTGTTTTGCTTCTTACCTTGAACGGGCTACTCCTCTGAGAACAAGCCTCCTCCCTCAGTTTCTTACATGGTATAATTAAATCGTAAATCTCTTTGAAGTATCAAGGTTTGATACATCCTCACAGATTTATGAGTTTATTTTTCCTGGCATCTTTGCCATAGCTATTAAAACACAGCTCATCCTGATAATTGGGCTGAATTGCATTAGTGATATTATCAAAATGCAAAGTTTCAATACTCCCCCGCCTTCCCTCACATGTGCTCCATTGTTCATTTTACTGCAAATGTAGTGAAACAAATTACTTTTGGCAACAAAACAGAAAAATAAACTGGACTGGAATGACATTGATTTATTCCCTGCAACTGATTATTTTCATCATTTTAGGACACAGGATTACAAGTGTATGAAGGAACAAGTTGAGAGGGATTCTGTGTTTCATCTTTTGTATGAAGTGGTGCTGAATCATGGATATTGGCTTCCTCACCAAAACTAATAGTCCATGATGATGGAGTTTAGGAACACTGTGGCCGAGTGTTTGAAACAGTGCAAGCTTAATTTCGCTCATTTCACTTGTATCAAAACAGAAATGAAACCAAAGTCTTTGGTCTGCCTCTAAAAACTATCACAGTTAAATTGACAGTGTTATGGACTTTTGACAAAGGCTCCTTGCACTTATACTAAAACATTCTTATTCAGTAGATCAATCAAACTGCAGTGGTGGAAACACTAGTCAGATCCTATGTTTAAGTAAAAAAAAAAAAGAAAGAAGTGCATTCATGTTCATATTTTTCATTACGAGTACATATCCTGCATTAAAAGTTAAGTTATTATCAGCCAAATGCTACTAAAAGTATCAGGAGTAAAACGTCTTGTTCTGTATAAAAATAGCCTCTGTGACTGTTATATTATTATATATGATATTATTATATTATTCATACTGATGCATCAGTGTTTAAGCGGCATTTACTGTTGTAGTGTGGAGAGGTGGCCACGCTTAAGGTCAGGCCCCTCCAAAAGGTCACAAGATAAATCTGAGGGGTCGTGAGATGATTAATGGGACGAGGTCAATAACCACAAATCTATTCTCACATATTGGACTGTTGTCTGATCGCTGATTTTTTGGTGAAATATTGAATCATTTTACTTCTTTGAGCCTCAATCAGTTATTTAAATGAAACCATGTGAGATGTTTAGAGGGGAAAAGTCTCTTTGGTGGAGCAGCTAACAACTCACAGACATCTGGGGCCCCAACTACACACTGCTTTATTGTAAGGCGTCAAAAGGTTGGGAACCACAGGTTTAGTCTTTAATAATGTATTGTGTTTTATAAGTTTATCATAGAGTTGTTGTTTTGGTTTTTTTTACCTCCCGCTGTCAGGTAAATGTGGTGGGGTATTTTCTTCTGCATGTTAGTGGAGTAGAAGTGTAGCATAGAATCAAATGGTTCGGCCTCAAAACTGTGAAGTACAGCGTTTAAGTAAATGTACTTAGTCACAATGACTGCAAGAAGGGAGTTGACTTTGACGAGTTACACCTGTGACAATATTAGATACAGTAGATCTCGATTTCCTTATATAATGCTCATAATGCTGGTCAGTGGCTCCCTGTATGCAGCTGTGTTTTGAAAAGGTGTGGTTTGACACGGACAGTGGTTGTTATTGAGAGGGCATTCAAAGAAGGAAGAGGAAGGTGGGGTGGGGGGGTGGGTTGGGAGTCAGAGGTCAAGGGTCAGAAGGATGATGCCCCTGTGGGGAGGGGAAGGCCGTGATCAGTGCCTGCTAGGTTAGCTTCCTCTACTCCCCACACCCACAGACCCCAGAGAGAGGAGTCAGAGGAACACATATTTACCATTGGGGAACAGCTGTGGGGCTGCCGGGGACTGGACACTCCTCTCCCCTGCATGCACGCGCACACCCACACACACGCACACAGTGTAAAAACACCACTTTAGTTCTCCATACACTTGAACCACGCAGCATTTGCGTGTTATGTAAATCATGAGCATGAGACAAGAGCTAATCTGACCTTGCTCCTACCCATGATACCTTGCATGAATTATTGGCACGACTTCTGGTTACTCCTCTCACTGAGGCAGTGTCTGTGGGAGTTCGTAATACACTACAGGTGTCTTTTCATGGAATAATGTGATCGTGCCTCTGCCTCCTACTACTGAGGGCTGGAAGGACGACCTGAAGAAGTGGCTTTGATTATATACAGTAGCATACTTAGCTACTTTATTGTTTCTGTTGCAACTGACAGTGAATTGATGAACAATCTGAAAAGCTCTGAGGCTTAACAGTCCTGCTCTAGTAATAAAGTTGGGTGCGTTTTATTGACTGAATTTGAATTAATTTGAAAGGAGACATATTGACAGGAACAGTCCCTTTCCATTTTCTGTTGTTTAAGCCACAAATGTAGTTTAGCTTGACTGTTCGTGCAGCCATGAACATCTGAACTTGTCCCTGAACTAAAATTTTAACAAATGCTAAGCTAACATAGTTTGTTATATAAATTCGATGCCACTCGTTCAGGCTGTCCTCCCATCGCTCAGTAGTGGACAGCAGAGATATGGTCACATCATCCCATTTATCGTGTGACAGGTTGTGTTCCAACATCATTTATTTCCCAAAAAGCTGCAGGACAAACAAAAGAAAAACACCTGTAGCATACTGCTCCTTCGCAGACACCGTCTCAGTGACAAGAATAACTGAAAGTTGAGCCCATAATTCATGCAAGGTATCATGAGGGTAGGAGTGAGTCGATAGCGTGGATGTGAGGCGTTCATCTCTCCTTAAATTACACACATTAATGTCCATTTCTGCTCACAGGAGGTGATAATGACATGAGAGAATGACATTATGTTGTTGCAAAAGAAGAAATAAAAAAACAGCCTCTCACTGGTAACAACTGAGCAAACAGCAGTGATTACTTTTCAAATGCTAACAACAAACTGATGATGACAGATCCTCATCTTAAATGAAAAGGGTGACATTTCAAGGCAAAAGTGTTACCTCTCGACATGCAGTCATGCAAACAAATATTCCACACGGTGCAGACAAAGTGCAGTGTTGTTGTTTGTATGTGAGATGATGCTTACGCTAGTTAGTATGAGCACTGCGAGCCGGGACAGACAGAGCGAGCGGTGGTTAGTGCTGCAAGCTGAGAGACAGGGGCAGCCGGATTCACGTCTGTGCTTTATGATATCCTTTATGGTCAGATCATTTCAGAGCTAATCTTGTTAGGCTGTTATGTCAAGTCTCTACACGCTGTCCGTGGCCCAGCCGTGTAATTCATGTGTCACTAAAAACTATTTCAGAAAGCAATAGTGTCTTTATGTTTTTACCTACTGTATAATTTATATCTTTTAACTGAATGGCTTTTAATTTAACGAATTCTACAATCCAGATCTCCCCAGTGAGCCCACTGAATGTAGATCTAGCTTTACCTCCACTCCCAAGTACAGGCACATGTTTAGTATGTAGACCATGTACATTCACCCATGATAAAGCTGGGGTGGCGGATTGGGCATTAAAGCACATGAAGGGCTTTAAAATTACAGCAAGAACTTTCTTTTTTTATCCCTGCATAATTTCAGTTATATTTGAAAAAAAGATTATTTCAAAATAAAATTCACTTTCTATCACTGTAATTCAGGCACATACTCTCTGCAATGGTCATTCTGAAATCCGCAGGCCAGAGCTCTTTTGGGGTGCCAGATAAGGAAGTAAATGTAGATGCTCAACTCTGACCATGGTGGCTCAACAAAGCATTCACGGTTTACATTGACTGCCAACATGTCCCAGTCCCAACATGCAGCATCTAGAAAGAACGATTCACAGCGGTTAGAGGACAGGGAGCACTGTGAGATAGCTCTGAATACACCAGCGTGAATGCACAGACCACCCGAAATGAGAGCAGCATGTTTATGTTATGGGCATATGCATGTAGACTACATGTGTTTACATGCATGTGATGCATGCATGCTGGATATGTATTGTATGTTTGTGTGGTTGTTTGTATAGTTTTCTGTTTGTATTATAAAATGCATCTCTTGCTCTCTCTCTCTCTCTCTTTCTGTGTGTGTTTGTGTGTGTGTGTGTGTGTGTGGGTCTAGCAGAGTGTGGCCAACTCTTCAGATGATTGAACTCCTGAGCATGTCGGCATCTGCCTGCTATTTGTGAATGTTTATGATTTGCTGTGCTAACAGCATGAACGCTTCCACATGATGGCTGCTCCTTCCTGATATCTTCACTCACTTGATACATAGACATTATATGCAAAAATTAACCTGATATTCTTTTTTTAGGACTGTTTAGGTAAAAAAAATCCCTTTTAAAGTTTGTGTGGGTGATTGAACTCTATCTCTAAGAAGTGTATGTGCTTGCATGTGTATGTTTAAGACAGACCAAGTGTACAGTATGTGTGCCATCCATACAAGCGTTCCTGACATTAACATTCTCACCTACAGTTTGCACAGTATCAACAGAGGTGAGATAGGAAGGATAAAGAAGCAACACTTTCCAAACAGAGCAGCATATGCTGTATTATTAAAAAATGCATGACCAAGCCTGGATGAGGAGACACCACAAAATGAATGAAAATGCTGCCGAATGCATATGAAACACCCCACAAGATGAATTGAACGGTGAAGCTTCAGCATACAGAAAGAACCCGCCAGACTAACGACAAAGCCACTGACAAGCCAAAAGCTGTTTGGTAATCATGTGCTATGTTCCTTTTGGAAAGAGGTATGCAGAGACTCAATGAATCATAAAGGTTTCCAAATCAATAGTGAGGCTTAACAGGAAGGTATTTTCACTTTGTCTGGTTGCTATGGATACCCTCTACACTCTATACATCAGTACTATTTCCGATTACGGTGGCTGAGGGGTTATTATCACTACATTCTATACAGATAGCACGCGAAAATACAACAACCCCAGCAAGACCTTTTCCTCTTTGTTTGTGAAATTTAAGACTATTTGAAACTTAACTCAGGATTAGAATATGATTTCTTAGCTCCAAGAGGGACTATTTGTTTTAAGCCTTGGAATAAATAAAAGTGAGATTTCTTTCTTCAGAGCAGAGGTAGCGGTTGCATTTTGTAACAAGTCAGATCTCTCAAAAACAATAATCATTTTTTGCCACAGGGTTAAGCTTGTTGTATTAAAATCTGGCACGCCGACTTGAAATGTCTTTGTAAACCTATGCAGCCCTCCTCTCCCCACAGGGGCATCATCCGATGCAGCTTTTGAAGTTTTATGTAAAAACAACAACAGTTTCCGCAGACATTGCTTTTGAATCCTTTTTTTAAAATGGTGGAAACCCCTCAGACCTACAGTCCTAGTGCACAGTAGTGGTGCCTTGCTGAAGGTCTTCCAACGTTCTTGTCACTCACTCTCCCATCAGTGGTTCGTTTGGCAGGTTGTTTGTTTTATTGAGGTTTTATTAGCTAATAGAGTGTCTGGGAGATGGAGCGCCCCCATGTCGACTGCAGAGCAGCCCTCCCTTCACCGCTGTAACCCCAGACTCTGTGGGGGAAATCAGAGATTTTAACTGGCTGACTGCTTCCTAATCTGGCACGCCAAATGTACATTTGCTCTGCCTTGAGAATAAGACAGGCTAAGACATATAATTTGGATGCGGTCAACTTTGTGGCGTCCCCCTGGCCTAGCAGGGTACAGCAATAATGACAGGTTGGCTGACCAGACCTTGACATAGGTCTGGCTCTGATCAGGGTTGTGGTAATAAAGGGGATCCAGAAACACTGAGCTAATCAGCCACTGCCCAAACCAAACTCTCAAAGTTAACAGCCACCAAAACCAAGCGACCGCCTTACCAGTCTGCTCTGCAGGCGTAGCTTCTAATTCTATTACTATGTTTGTCTCACTGACAATGAAAATATGTCCTACCCAACTCACTGAAGCTTGCGTTACAAACACTGCACTGTACTGACTAAATTGGTTTGAATGGGTTTGTGCTGTAAATGGTGACAATTAATGGCACTATTAAAGGCAGATAAAATAAAGGCCTGTTTGTGCAATTCTGCATGGCTAAATGTAATGCGTACATATTTATCAAGACTTGTGCATCGACTCTTCCGTGTCTGTAGGTCTCATTTGATGGAAAACTGCCCTTCAGAGCAGTTCAATATGCCCGAGTAGCTGAATGATTTTTACTCAACTTAAGTCAACTGAGGCAAACACTGATAAATGCCAGTGGAAGGTTAGGGCAGGTGTGTGAGTTAATCCCCAATGGGAAGCAGTGGAGGAATTGACCCAAGGGCTAATAGAAGGTGTGCATTTCACTGCATGAAGCTGACTGAGAAACAGAGGGAAAGGGAGAGCTGTTGCACCGAGAAGAGGAGGAGGAAGAAAAGCCAAAGCAGATACAGTGACTGAGAGGTTACTGGAGCAGCGGCAGCAGTAGCAGCAGCAGCAGCAGCAGCAGCAGCAGCAGAGGGGAAAGCACAGTGGGTGGTAGCCTTTTGTCCTTGGATGTCACAGATCAAGAGAAAAGGCTCAGGCGTACAGCTACTGTAAAAAGGCCTGTTTTTCAACTTGCATTTTATCACTATACACCTCATTTCAGAGTTAATTAAATTTGCTGTTGGAAATCTGGTGCTGAGTTAATAATTTGTGCTTCTACATTTTCTCATTCAAAAGCCATTTTATTCCTTGCCCTTGGTGGTTGTATCGGGGTGAGATGACTCACCTACACAAGTCTTTCCATCGCTGTGGAGGACGAACTTCATGTGGCACGAACATTTGGGGCCGTGGTCTGTCTCCTCGCAGATGTGCTGGCAACCCCCATTACCATAGTTACACGTCACTATCAAAGGACAGATAAATAACATAAAATGTACATGCAGGGTAATAAAAACACTTTTGAGAGTATTTCTTCTGCATTTTATGCCTTCTATTTGAAAGTGGGCAGCAGAGAGGTGAAAGGAAATGAGGGCAGAGAGAGGATAAAGAGATATATATCAAAGGTGACCAGCTGGAATCTCAGGATAATACACACTCATTCTCTGAGCCGTCGGCTCTATGACGTAAATACTGCGGGCTCAATTCAGACTTCATTCAGTCGTCCTTCAGAGAGCTTCAATAAGACATACTGTCTATTTGAGTTCCTCAAATGACTGTATTAACAAAAAACAACTCGGTCTCAACTAAACAGTGCTGACACCAGTGTCAGCAAAATTATTGTTTCGACTTAAAAAGTGTTCAAGGCAATTAGACCTCTCGACATCTTTCCATTGCTTATTAAACACTGTGTGCAACAGGTCTTAGATTAAGGTTAAAAACTGAATATCATGATATAAAGAAGGGCATGCCATGATTTATATATTCACCACCTCAAGTAGTGAATCTGTTACTTACATTAATCACTGTCATGGCTTTAATTATGCATTACTCCCTATGATAAATTTTTTCATCCTTGTGAATGAAGAATCACATTAGAGTTGCGGAGGATTTGAGAGGTCATATTTTTACACCCTCCAACAGTCGATGAGGTGGCCTTGAGCAAGAGGCTGCACCTACTCACTCATTGTTAGTCACTCTGAAGTGTACAATTTCTGCTCTAAGTCTGTGTGTTCATGTGTGTGTGCCTTTGCAAATCTTTAAGTGCAAATACATTGATATGCTGGCGGGCGAGGGAAGCATTAACCTTGGCACTTTAAACACACCTGTGATGACAGAGTGAAAAAGAGCACGAGCCTTCCACCGCCATCCTGTCTGCACCCTACCATCCCAGCGCCTTTTGCCCTTTTCCTGGGCTGTCACAGAAAAACTATAGAATAACACTTCTCCAATCCTTATCCAAACACAGACAAATCCCCCATCAGCCCTGGCCCCAGCTCTGACAGGATGATCTCCGTTGCACAGCAACAGGAAGTGTGCGCTGTCCATCAGAGCAGTCCCCTTCGAGTAACCTCCACACTTGCCCTGGTTGTGTAAATGATCGCTCCTTATTTGATAAACATGTTTTTCTTTACAAGGACTTTTCAGAAGATTAGTCACAGCTTAGTAATGTAACGTAAATGTCAGTAACCTACTTCAAATCTGTTGGAAGGCATTTGTGGAATGAGCGTAATTATCCATCATCGGCAGGTTTCCAACCCCAATCACCTTTTCATGAGGAGCCTATAAATCCTCCCTCTGTGCGTATGTGAGTGTGTGTGCATGTGCGTGTGTGAGTCCCTCACTGTGCTTGAGGTCGAGATGACTTACATTTGCAGTCCTTCATGTTACGGGTGAGCTGGAATCCGGGTCGGCACTCACAGGAGATGCCACCCTTCTGTGTTTCCCTGCAGATGTGTGCACAGCCGTGATTCTTGTCCATGCAGGTGGGTCCCTCCTTCGCGCTGTCTGCTTGCACTGTGAAGGAAACAGCGAGACCAGGAGAGAGAGTTTATCTCATAATTGCAACAAAGATTACACAAGTTTTCCTTTTTGTTTTAAAAAAAAAACAAACAAAAAACACAAAGACCAATAAGTAAACTAAGAGTTTGGTTTTAAGTTAGATATGACAGAGCTGGCAGGAGGAAATGCCTGTCACGCATTCTGACCCTCAGTCACATATATGCCTACTGCTGGTGACTGACATGCTCTGTACCCCTTTACAAAGATTCAGGCACTTGTTGGAACATGCTCGCTCGTTTCAGCCTATAAAAAGGAGGCTGCCTGCAGAAAGGATAAAACTCCCAGCAGGAGCTGATCCAGTAGATTTTAATTGAGGTAATCCCCCATAAAGAAAAGAAAACACTGAAAAAAAATTAACTCCTTGTTTAAATTCTCCCTGCTGAGACCGAGTTCAAAAGGGAATGCGCTAAAAGAAGTCTTTTCTTGACTCATCAAGAAAATCAGGAAGAAAATCAAGATGTTATTGAAAAAAAAGGAATTTAATTATTCAAAGCTTTACTACACATGGCTCAGAAAGATGCATAATTTCTGTGATGTATAAATGCTTGATGAAGAGGTACAACAGCCTCCCAGCATGCATTTGACTTGAGACCCTCGTGTCATGAATTATAACACATATGGACGCTGTGCTCCTGCTGCCTTGCTCTGTACTGTAATAATCCTGCTGCCTTCGTGGAAGGAGACTGATATTTGACTTATTCATTGTGAAACCCTGCCACCGCTACAGATGCAGTGACAAACCCCAGCTCTCCGACTCATTAAAAACCCAACAGATCCCTTTTCCTTTTCTTCTGGCGAACGAGGCGGCAATGTGCAAGAAGACATCTCCATTAATGTCTCATTAAATCTGCTATCGCACTGAAGGGTGTTTGGAGGTCTAACTTTCTTAATTAGCCAACTTTTTTTGCTATAAATTTAAGCATCTGCATACGTGTGTGGAAGTGTCAACTACTAGTAAAGCTCATCTAACCTTGTGCACTCTTCCTCTCTAAAGTCCAAATGTAGTGTGCCATTCTTGACAACCGTGTGCTGTCATACAGTTTCGATGTAGTTGCCTCGAGAGCTACACGGAAAAACAATCTCAGCTTGATAGAAGCGGGTTTTTACATCATTCCATCCTTAATTACTTTTTTTTGTACTTTCACTCCTGCCACCATAACCTCCTTTAATTATGCCATCTTGTTTTCCACGTGTTTTGCCAAAAGCTCAACCTGCCGTTGTACGTATTTCCACTCATGGCTGATCTCAGGAATCTATTTTGAGTTTCTCTATACTTCAAAAAGATGACAGTGAGAGTGTGACAGACAATTCTGACCTCTTGGTTAATTAAATGCTTTCCATCACTTTAACAAGTGCCACAAGGTCATACAATCTTCTCACACATCCCCTGCCTGAGCTGTTGTCGTTCTTGCAGACAGGGTGAGCTATCAAGACACCAATTGCAGCAGCAGCCTTCTCTGCAACACAAATGCTGGGCTGGCTCTTCAGCTCTGAAGGTTAAAGGAAAAAAGGCACGGTGCAACTGAGTGAAGTAACCATGAATGAGCATCAGCAGAGCAGCTGCTTTAAAGTGCTGCAAATTTCACAGCGAGCCATGTCGATATTCAAGTAGCATGTGGAATTTAGTGGTTCCTTTTCTTGGCTTTGTGTCTATCTGAGGCCAACACAAGAAATAGACATCTATGAATGTAACAGAGGATTGAATTTCTAACTACATAACCCCGATGGACTAAAGATTACATACTAAGGTTGTATTATGCATCCCAGAACTCACTTCACTCCACCTTCATTTTTATGCAGCCCCTCTAGCCGAATACTACAGACCCATCCATCAATAACATGTCGAGCTGGGGCCAGAAACCTGGGCCTTCATCTCTCTGAGGACCAATAAAAGCCAAAGTGTTGACACAATGGCCCTTTTCTCCAGGCCAGGGCCAGCTATCATCCACTGTGCGTAGTTCCCTCTAACTAGCTGCCAAATGCCTCCAGTTTTTAACATTACTAAATGATGGGAAGCAGAAAGAACAAAATCCATTCATAAGGAGGTGGAGTAAAAAAAAATGTAGATCCTAGATGCCACGATCCACTACTAGAACAATCTGCTGACCCATAAAACATAACTCTATATGTAGAAACTAATAAAAACTATCACAGAGCACTTTATGGGCAGAGAACTGGACAGGAAATAGAGTCCAAAGTCTTGGAAATGAGAAGGAGTCATTTCAAATAGCTACCGAGGGACAGACCAGAGTGGATATAGCATTTCACACGGACACAGTCGTCATCAAAACTACTGCACTTGTGGTAAAAAAGGGAACACTGCAATTAACCAAGAAAACAAGTGGGAGTGTTCCTTCTGTGAAGCAGCCACAACTTTATCCTCCCAAGACAGGTCGTGACCTCTGTGCCCAACACTAAAAGGTGAAGCCAATAAATCTCTGGCTTTACTTGTACACTGTAGGCAATAGTACTGTATGTGTTTTAACAGAATAGTTTTATATTTTGGGAAATATGATGAGTTAGACGAGAAGATCAATGCTAATCTAATGTCTGTGCACTAAATGTGAAGCCACAACAAGCAGCCAGTTAGCTTAGCTTGGCATGAAGACTGGAAACAGGGAGAGGGAATCAGCTTTGATTGACAAAAACCAAACAACCAAATAGCCATCATCGGGTTTCAAATGTTGCTGAATCCTGATTGGTGTGAGGAAGCATGTGTCATCACTTTTGTCTAACTGAGCCCTGCCCATTTAAAATCGGCAAGAGGAAAAAAAAAAAAAAAAAATAGAAAAACAGAAATCGCTCATGTGAATTAACCAAAACTATTCTACGAATGGCAGAAAATAGCGGGTTCATGTAGGTCCCCCTTCCACTCATAGTAAGAAGCTGATAGAGAAAATAGGTTTTCAGGCCCTTTAAGTATACAACAAAAGGGCAGATACACTCCCAGTGCTTACTTTTCCTATTCTTAACAAAAGAAATATCAGCATGATCCTCTGGGGGATAAAGTCACCGCTGTAAGTTGTTTTCTCAATCTCTCGAAGCAGAATCAATTTGTGTGTCTGTCATTGAGTCAGTGGAACTTCAACTTAATATGTGGGATCAGCCTCAGCGCCTGCAGGACATGGCATTAAGTGCAGGTCACATCGCACAGCTGCCTTTCTGAAAAGCAGCAGGTCAGGACAACAGAAAAAAACAAAAACAAAAGAACATAAGGATTTACTGATGATGGCAACTCCTGTGGGCAAGGTAGTCTAAATGGATAGCCCCTTGGAGAAACTGATTGGAGTTGAAATCACTGTTAAAGGCAGTGGCTTGTAATTTAAAAGCCATAGATTGTGAGCTAGGAATGCACAGGTTGTTTCTCCAGCTCTCTCAGAAACAGACCAGCTCTTACTACACTGCAAAAATCTACTGAAAGCATTCCATGTTCTGACACAGTAAAACATCTGTATTTTGCAAGAAAGGATTCTCTTAGACCACCTGTTGTGCACAGAAGCTACAGGCTCTGTAAGACTTCCCTCTGAGGTCAAACCTGCCTACCAAAAATACAAACAACAGTAAACTTCCAATAGCGGGGTATGAGTTTTAACATGACATGAGGAACTGTGCAAAAGAAGAAAAGTTAACACGGGTGCTCCGGCTAAGATGCCGACTCCTGTGATCCTCAAACAAAAGATCCACGGAGGCCACAAGTTCTTCACCACAGCCCTGTGAGCGCTCTTAAACCTGAGAACCATGAAGTGGAGAGACTGAAACAATGGGGCTGAAGTAGTGGAAGGCATGCCAAGGGTTTATAGTCTGTTCTGAGTGCTTGGGGCAGTGAAAGGAGGGCTCACGGTCCATGTTGAGCTGCTGTCATACGTCTCCGAGGGGGAGACGGTCCCCTCTTTGCTTGACGCTGGCTGGAGAACATTAAGCAGCTAGCTAGTGTTAGTTGGTTACAAACTGAAAAGAAGGGGCCTAAGCATGGAGCCACCACACTATTAAAGCAACATTCCTTCCTCTTAGATAATGGGCCCTTAAAAGTTTTAATAGGAGGATAAAAATGTCAGCGCATGGAAAGGAGAATGGGAAAGGAGCTGAACCGGATTGGGTTGGGCTGAGCTGCGACGCAGATGGTCAGGCAGAGCGACGGGGCAGCCAGCCGGTCAAGGAAGTAACTCTTCCCCACCAACTCCCAATTGCTACTGTTTGGTCTGTTGTGTGAGCAGTGATTTTCTCCAGCTCCCGGAGGCCTTGTTGAGGCTGCTCATTTCACTCCTTTTTTTTTTTTTTCAGAGAGGAGCCACTGAAAGCATAAACAACCAGAGAATGGAAAAGACAGGAGCAAGCATTCTGGACGCGTACATGTCACTGCAAAAGTGCTTAATGTCCAACTTTTAGTAGTATATTGTGCTGAAACAAACCACAAACATGTAGCACATGCTGTGTTCCAAGCTCTAACTGGTATACAGTTGAAGTGATATACTTTTTAAGTTCTTCTTACAAAATAGACAAGAATACAGTGGATAAGAAAAGGCTCTTGAGAATTTCTTATGTTATACAAATTTGTGTATTGTGGATACTGTGTGTGTGTGTGTGTGTGTGTGTGTGTGTGTGTGTGTGTGTGTAAGTGTACTTGCATTAATGTATATATTAATGTATGCATTGACACAGGTTTATTTGCATAATGTATGCATGTTGCACGTCTGCCCATCTGTGTCACCAAGAGTCATGCAGCACCTGCTGGGGACGTTGCCACTCTCCTCTTCACTCCTCCTCTCATTCTATCAAGGTCACCTCACTGTGCAGTCCCAAAGGAGCCAGGCATCCTCTCAACAGAACAGACAACACAGCAGAAGAACATAGGCTGCTCGCTTTCTTTAATATAGAGGTACAAAAGATAGGAGATACATTATGTTATAACAGAGCCGCATTCTTTCCAAAATCAAAAGGGAGAGGCGACTGAAGAAGGCGTCTGTCTCTGCAGAGCTCAGTCTGGCCCTCTGGTTAAAGCCATGACAGCCAAGTGTTAGTGGAAAAACCCCACTGGCACTCAGGCAGTCTGCAGCAGCATGCTGGGCTGGCCAGCTTAGAGATGGCCTTCAACAAACCCCTGAGCAAAAGGGATGCCCATCTCAAATGAGGTACGGAGAATTCAGTGGCAAGGCAGCCAACATTTGCTAAAGCCCAAGCCACTGCTGTATATTTGTTCAAGGGTGGGAGTGAGGGGGTGGGGGCATGGGGCCTGTGAAAGTCTGGACAAAGAGGGAAGATGAGGGGAGATAATGTAGGAAAGAGACAGGGGAAGAAAGAACAACAGAGGAGCAGAGGAAGACAAGAGGGACATGAAAGTGTCCCCTGCATGTCTTCGTCTCTGCTGCTGGACTTAGGGGAAAGACTTAATAGGTAGCAATGGAAGCACGAGGCGTTCCTCTCGCTCCACTTCCCTAGAATAGGAAAAGAGCCTGGTTATACGGTTGGGCTGCAGAGCAATGGAGCAGCGACTTCTGCACTTGTAAAAACAGTTCTGTGGCCAATGCACAGACAAGCAGGCAGGCAGGCCTGCTGAGACCCACCAAGGGGAACGTGTAAGAACCAGGTCAGCTCCTGCACAGTGGGAAAACCACACGGCACAAGACAAGTACATGCATACAAATACAAATAGTTATATATTTGACTTTGCAATACTAAACACTGGATCATTGGAATGATGGAAACTGGCCCTTTAGCAGCGTATGACTTCATGAAGCTAAAATGTGTAACAGTCTGCTAAACAGATATTACATTTTAAGAAAGTAGGTTATTTTAGCCATTTGTGATAAGGAAAAAAAAACAACAATAAAACAGGGTTCAGTGACCCTGTGCCTGATTTCATACAGAAGGAATGTCATGGCTGCAGAGCAAAACTAACTGAGAATGTGATGCGGCCATTTATTATGGATTTGATCACATTTATTGGAAAATTCCTTGCACTGCTGTAGCTCTAGTCGGCATCCTGAAGTCGACACGCCACGGTCTGCATCTAAATGTCATAATAGAACGTGTCTGAATGTGCCTCCAGCAGGATTAAGTTGTAAAATTAGTTGTGTGCTTGTGTGAGTCTGTGTGTGTGTGTGTGTGTGTGTGTGTATATATATATATATATATATATATATGATTATGTCCATAATGTCCACTGTGTTCATATTTGAATTTGAGAAAGAGAGATTGAGAGAGACAGAAGAGATTAGCTGTACAAGGGGTAACAACCCCTTTGGGAAGCTAATGAAAGTTGTAAACACAGGAAGAGGTTTTCATTGACAAAGTAAACATTCCCTGGAAAGACAAGGCCTACTGTACAGAGAAAGAGCCCCACTTCCTCAGCCAGGTGGCCGATAAAGAACAAGGCCAATTTTTTAGAGGAAATTGTTACATTATTTTATACTTTCTAATATGACAAAGGTAATGGCAAATATAAGTGAAATGATCTGAACAATTTGAACATATTGTGGTGCAATGACCCCCACTCGACTGGGGCTGTGACTAACGATTATGTTTTATTAACCAGTTTCTCCATGAAACGTCAGAAAACAGTGAAAATTTCATTAAAATTTCAATGAGCCTGAGATAACACATTTAAGTTATGCTCATGGTGTTCCTGGTGGGAACTGTTGGGTCTCTGTAATCAATATTATTGAGTACAGTCTAGACCTGCTCTATTTGAATAGTGCCTCGAGATAATTTCTGTTGTGATATGGGGCTATATAAAATTATAAAAATTTGACTTGACAAGTAGCTTATTTTGTTCAACAGCCCCAAACCCACAGATATTCAGTTTGTGGATATATATGATGAAGAAAAGTAGCAAATCTTTCTCTTGATTGACTAATTGATGAATCCTTTTCACGCTAAACTGAGCACTCAGTGATCTAACATTTGACGTGATGGTTGGTCCTCTTTAATCCCGTCCAATAAAATAATGTAAGATGTATCATGCATGATAGACTTCCTTCTATCTTGACTTCTCTACTTAATTTACATTTACTAGTTTGTGATTGTGCGCTTTGGAGAATTGAGTGCAGTGCAGTCTATTAACAGATTTATGCCAGCAGTGAAAGGTGACAGTGAGGCCTCAGGGCTCATGTAATCAAAGTTTTCACTGCAATGAGCTTCAGACTGTTATGTAATCAGCAGACGGGTGTGAACTTTCAAACTCCTTGCTGATATCCACAGCTTTCCTCACAATTCCAGTGACACTTGTACCATATTGATTGGCAGACGATGACAGGGAGCTTGATCCAGGTAACTCAAATTCTTGTTAAAAGTTACATCTCTCCTTTGCCTTGTGCTATGTTCATGTTCAGCTGTCCTATCTCTCAATGAATTCTACACAGCTCATGATTTGACTTTCAAATCGCATAATTATATTTGGTGTCATTTGAGCTGAAGACAAAAATGACTGAATACATAAGTTAGTATACGTGACTTATATAACAGCCCGTCAGCGCACACTTAAGGTAATTGCCCTACCGGATATTCAGAAATGTAGAGGACTAAAATTATGGACGTGTGGGTTGACTGAGCCTGAAATTCCTGAATTCCAATGTGCTGGATCCCGTCTCACACACATACGTCCCTGTTATCCTCCTATATAAGAGAGACAATAAATCAAACGCAAAGCAGTGGAACCCTTCTTGACCTAAATGGCATTCCTATCAACCACTAAGCACCTTGGCTGGCCTTTCAAAGGCTTTATTTCTTGCCTGGGAGAAATGTTTGGGGAGAATAAATGAACTGTTACATTTTGGCCAGCTAGACGATGGAGCCTTCATTTGGCCGTAGTTATTCCTGTTCAGGGGGCAGGGGCAGGTCTAATAAGAGACAGGCCAGCAGCAGCCTTGTCATTAGCTGAGAGGCTGGCAGACCCCTGCTGCCTAATTGGCACAGGCTCACTGCTAACAAGGGCTTCCTACCAGCAGGGGAAACAGACTGGTAGCGCCAGGCACCGCAGTGACCAGCTCTCCACCGTCCCCAAGAAGACTCACAGAAGTTGCCCAGGGAACACCTGACCCATTAATGAAAGAAATGGAAAGCTGATGTCTTTTTAATGAGAACAGTAAAGCTCATGAGCAAACTGCACCCCAGGCTTTGCTCTTTAGGAAGAGACTTTGCAGAATGAATCGAGGGTTGCATTGAAAGCAACTTGGCTGAGAGATTAGATCAGTTTCAATTTTCTCAATGATTTTTTTTTAAAGGCATTTGAACATAATTTTTCAGTAAGTGAGGAAAGTGATGTTTGCAACAACTCTGCAGGCTTATTGTCCAATAACCTGGCAAAGCCACTTCCTCACCACTTCCATTTTCCTCCAGACACATGCTGTAATAGGAGCAGTAATAATAAGCAGATGAGTAGTTGTTCTGTCTGTTAGCCTATCAAAAATAATGATACAATGACAGGGCGGCTATCTGATGAGTGAAGGAAGTTTATAGATTGATGGCTGCTTTAATCTCTTGATCCGAATCGGTCTCATCTGGAAGCAATAAAGACAAAATTAACATGAAAATGGAAGATTAACAGGAACCGAGGACATTTATCAAGGAAGGGGAGAGAGGAAGTGAGAGAGAGACGGAGGGAGTTTGGTGAGACTGGACTGGTGCTCACTCTGCCTCTGACACAATTGATATAGTTGTGGTGCTTTGAAACACATGATCCAGCTTTTCACTCCACTCAAATAACACTGCGTTTATGAAATGTAAACATTGACAGTTCACTAGGCCAGACTGATCTCATAAACCAGACTTCCAAGATCCTCGGTTCACCATCCAGAGGACTCAGGAACATTACGGTCTAATGAGTCCCAGCATGAGCAGTTATCTTACAAAAGACAGAGGGGAGACGAGCAGGGCAGAGATGAAGAGACACATGGATCCTGCTGTACATGCTGTCAGGGCCCCGAGGAACCAAAAAGATCTGCAGCACAGTCCCAGTACGAACTGTCGGAGCTGAGGAATCTGAGGACAGCTGGATAATTACTCCTTGAATAAATGTGCTTTGTGATAGTGATAGCAGCTGTTCATTTTCTCTGATGTTGCTTTTCAGTGCAACGAAGAAATCTACTGAACAAAGCACAGAGGCAGAGTACGCTGTGAAACCATGTACAGAAAAATGCTTTTCCCTTCCAAACCTGAGAAACTGATCTTTTTTATGACATAACTATATCATTTTGTGCAATTTATAAAAAAAAACGGAGTTGTGGATTTGTCACAACCTAAACCACTGCACTGCTGTTTTATAGACTTGTAAAATTCAGCCACTGAGGAAAATTACTACAAGGTAGTATGCAAAATTTAAATACAGCTATGACGTTATGAATGTATGTATGTCTGCGGTGCTCCTGTGTCTGATGAGTAAGTCTCCGAGCAGGTTGGCTCTGTACTTTCTCCTGTCACGTCCCCATCCCACAGGAATGCTCTAAAAACAAGAGGTGTGTCTGCCCGAGGCTACACCTTTAATTGTTTTCTCTGCTCAGTCCCCTGCAGCCCACTCTCTACCACGATACCTTAAAATGCTGCCAAGCTCTAGATTGGTTCAATTTGAGAGGGTGGGTGGAAAACAAAAAGAGATTTATCCCTCTTCTTCTTTTTATTCCCATCAGTCTGGAGACACTTACCTTCACTCACCTTTCATTTAGGCCTGTTAGGGCTGATCCCACTCTCGAGTGTAAATCTGCACTAATTCATCATATTATTCAAAAATGCCTGGACCTGAACATCCACATATTACTTAAAAATAATGAGCTTCCGCTGAATACAGTAAAATCCGACCTAAAGTCAAATTCACCGCCACTGAACAACTACGTATCCTGCTCTTTTCCATAATAGTGTGTGTGTGTGTTTGTGTGTGTGTGACTAACCTTTAGGCCTTTGGATACAGGTATGCTGGTTGTCACTCAGAAGGAATCCTTCTCTGCAGCGGCACTCGTAGCTGCCCATCATGTTGACACAAATCTGTTGGCACCCGCCGTTGCCCTCCGAGCACTCATCCACATCTGCCAGGACAGAGACACACAAATTCAAAATTAATAAGATCACTTCAAGACAGAAATAAAATGCTTCACAGATTACTGTTTGTCTGAAGGTTGTCTGCGATCAAATCATGGCCCATTTAATGGAGAAGTAGCTGTAAATCAGAATCAGGCATGGATTATAGGAATGCCAACTTCTGTATTTTCTATACATTTAGAAGTAAAATTCAGTAAAATGTAACCTGGTAAGTACAGCAGAAGTGATTAGGCCTAGGAATTTAAAGTAAAAGTTTCTGAACAAACAGCAAACAACAGTAAGAGTCCTGCAGCCCTTGCAGTTCTGTGAGACTGCACTTAGGCACATGCTCTGAGCTAAATGCTAACATCAGCTCACAATTAACAATGCTAATGTGTTGACATTTAGCAGCTTTAGTGTTTACCATGTTCGCCACCTTGTTTAGTGTGTGAGCATGCTAGTATTTGCTAATTAGCATTAAGTGCAAAGTATAGCTGAGGATGATGGGAATGTTATTAGCATAGAAGGCAAGACAGTATTGGATATATTTAAATCTTGAACTGATGATGGTGTTATATGGGAAGTGAGAGGATGATAGAAGTTTCTAAAATTCACCCTTTGGTGGACAGGATACAAGTACCAGGTTTCACAGCAATCCATCAAATAGTTGTTGAGACATTTGACTCATAACCAAAAATGTCAACCTCATTGTGGCACTGGAAGAAAAAGTCAGAGGATCACCAAAGTCGTTAAGATTCATCCTTTGGGGATTATACAGCCATCCATCTTATCATGTTGTATCCTCTTATCATTGTTGAGATGTTTCAGTCTGGACCAACTGACAAACCTCACCATCCCTAAAGACTCTAGCATGGCTATAGACTTGCTCTATTTATTTTGTGCAAAAAATGTATTTGAAAATTAATTCATATGAGTATATAAATAAAAATTTGCTCCATCAATTTTTTTCTATCTTTCTGAAAAATGAAATAGTTCTCATCCTGCCCTCCTGGTATAGAAATGTATGAATTAAAAAAAAAAAAGATTTTGCTTTAAAAACTTAAAAATGATTTTTACTCACATTTACTCACATTCTTGACTCACATCCACCATTTATTGGATAAAACAACCAGAGTTTGTGGTTTGATTGTAAATGTCAAACTAACAGAAAGCAGGAGGCACAAAAAGTGTTTGGATATTATGAAAAGCCAGAGGAGCTTGTCTTAAGCTGTCTGAGAAGGCCATGTCTGTCTTAATGGTTATCAGATATGGCAGCACACCAGAGTTGCACTGAAAACCTCCAAATGTGCAGCACTAAGCCATAAAAATGCACATGCAGCACAATCCCCTGACAAGTGGGAAACCCGATCCACCTGGGTCAGAGTACCTGCTGATGACGAGTGTCTGTCAGCCCCATGACGGGAGGAATGCAGGGAGAGGGAGGAAAGACGATGAAGAAGGAGGGGAGAAGTAGAGATGGCAAGAGGAGAGAGTATTGGGAGGGGGGTAACAAACAACCATAGGAATCCACCTCAACTGCAGACAGAAGAGCATTTACAAAGGTGTTGCCTCAGGCCTCGTTCTGCCACAGCGAAAGAAAGAGAAACTGACCACATACGACAGTCGCTGACTTCATTTGCACCGATAATGAATTTGAACTGCCAGGTGTTCTCTCCTAATAAAACCTCTTGTTCCAACTCACTCTGTGACTCCACAAAAGAAGCAAATGAATGGCAGTGGAGCAGCTAGTAATCTTTTGATATGCAGTATGTGTTTATTTTCAAAATGAAAGACTTGCACCATGTCTTTCTTTCTTTTTTTTGCTGCTTCTACATGTATGCCATGCTGCACAGCTCAGCAGACCCGGCCTCGCCTGTGCGTGACTTCACTGTGGCTTCCCTTCCCCTCTTCCCCCGGAGACCTGGGCTCTGTCCCTCACTACTCACCACACTGGAACCTTATCCATCCCTCTGCTCAATGCATCAATAATCTGCTGTATACACAAGCCTTTTTTTTTTTTTAATAAACCATCATGCGAAACTAATTTACTGTCTATTTGTCCAGTCTGAGAAGGCCTCTAGATTAAGTTTCCTTTCTGGGGAATTCTCAGCCCGGCAAAGTTAGAAGTTTAACTTCGCTCTGTCCTCTTCTTTCTTCTTTTTCCACACAGAAATTCTGAGAGACCGGGATTCACCAAACGCACAAACACACATACTGGGCTCACAAAGTGGCACCTGATTAGACAGAAACCTCTGGGGTTGATAACTAGGTCACTGGCAGGTAGCACTCATGACCCTCGTCAGCTTGCCAAGTCCTCTCTCCTGTTCTCACATTCCATTTGCGAAACTGTCTCTTCCCTCTAAAAACAATGTGTCGTGTCAGTTGAGGTCGACTGGGTAAGGCATCACTCTACAGCCCGTTGAAGCCATACACATAGAAAAAAAAAATGTCCAGCAAAGTTAACATTTAGACTTAAAGTCACAGTGAAGGGAAGACAGTTTTGAAAAAAAATGCTGGTCAGGTTTTCATTCAACTGTGTGGGTTGACCTCATGGTCTCATCTCTCTATCATGAAAGTAGCAGCAACAGAGAGGAGACCTTTGAGCTGATGAAAGCTGCCAGCAACCTCCAGCTGCACCTTTGCAGATAAACTGTTAGCAGACACCAAAAAAACACAAACTCCACGACTTATATGGGAAAACATCCTCACACATGCATAAAGTCTCCCTCTTCTCTCTCTCTTTTTCACACACACAAACCCCAAAAATTCAAACATGTAAAGGCTACACAAATACAACAGTTCTCAACGCATGCACAAAATGCACATGAGATATGCAACCCGCTTCAGAGGACCTCTGGGAATTCTCTTTCCATACCCTCAGCGCATCAATGAAGGTTTCATTTCCTGATTCCTTCATCCCTTCAAATGAGGCGTCGCCTGTCAGTAGATCTCTCCTGTTTAAATAGCTCCCATAATTGCCTGTGTTGTGTGCTGGGCAAGGCTGGCGTCCAAAGCAAATATTTCCAAGCGGAAAGGGGTTCTGGCATGGCCAAGAGAAGTGCTCATGTTATTTGGACTTAAAACATTTTTTAAAAATTCTCTTGAGAGGATGGAAAAAAATGTCTTAATCAAGTTAAAAGGGCTGCCTCACTTCTGAAAAATGAGACATGTCTCTGCTCTATCCCTGCTTTACTCGAGGAGACGAAGGGAAAAGGAAGGTTCAAACGGAGAGAGATTAAGAGATTGGTTGTGTTTGCGGAGGCCATGTCCGCTGGTTTCTCAGATAGCCTTGACTGTATATATAACATTTGGCCTTGCACAGAGCTTTAGAGCCATGTAAACATGGTGGTTGCCTTACAGAAACTCCTGAACACTTATTTTGGAGAAAAGCTCAACTGCTCTCCTTTTTTAAAAGGTTGAGCAACTTTAGGTGCATTTATTGGCCCTGAGGTTTTTTTTTCAAGAAGGAATGAAAAACTCCTGCTGTCTGTCATCAAAGCTGTCCATGAATCCATCCCACTGCTTGGCTTCTGTCTAGATCGGACAGAACTGTCTCTGTCGTCTAGACAGGCCAGAGACAAAGAGGTGAGTGGACGGACTCTGGCCTCTTTGGGCATTTCATTTACAGTAGTTGAGGAGGCTCACACTCTTTAATAAGGCAGCAAATCGGAGCCATGTGCAGCGACAGGCAGCAAAACAGCTGGGGGACTGCAGGGGAACGACCATGCTGCTCTGGTAGATGAACAGGCACTAGCTTGGCTTCACTGAGCATCAGCGAGGAAGGAGTGGCACACTCACAGCCAGCTTCAATTAAAACAAGATCCTTCCACATTTTAAACAGGATTATAGGACTTCCTCTTTCTCTCTGGCGCTTCTGGAGTTCAGTGACAGTGGATTTCTTCAGCCACTTGACTCAACAGTGACCACAGCGCCAGGTTTGAACCCGGCCTGAGGAGAACAACTGCCGCAGAGAGCACAGACGCTGAAACTGGCTTTGTGTTAACAAACCTTCAGCCTGTCAGCTGAGCTTGTATAAATTGATATGTTGCAAGATATCCTGGACTTTCATCTGCAGAACACGCACTCTCTTAAATCATGTGTACGAGCATGAGTGACTGTTGCGGGCGGAAAGCTGATGCATTAATACTTACAGTATTTAGCTGTGAACAATTTATTAGTTCCAGTGCTTCCTGTCTGCCTGAACCACTGTGGCTAATGCAGCTATCTGATTCACATCTGCTAAGCAAACATGAATAAAATCTCTGTTTACTGTAGCGTTTCATTCTTAAATCAGCAGCGAGGTTTGATTTTTATGCTATTACCTAAACAGAGCGAATACAGCTTTGATTGAACTCAGACTTTTTCGACTTTGGGCCCGTCTCCCAGGTAACCATTTTGGTAAATAAGCACAGACTTAGACTCCACGTCCAATCTCTTGCCGAGTTCTTTCCTAAATGAAAAACTATGAGCTAAGATCATGCTAACTGGTTTCTCCAAAACAAGTCTGGAAGTATTTTAAAAACAAAACCCCAGGATAAGTGTTTGGGTGGACAGCCTTATGCCAAGGAGACAAGAGGCCCTGTGCTGACGTCTGACCGCTCCCAGTCTGCTGCATGCTTACATCCCTAAACCCAATCTCAGGCTTGAGTTTCCCCCAAAGCCCTGCCAGTGGGCTCAGCTGGAATTGTTCATTTCATGGTGCATGGGGCTGAACAATCCTGAGAGAAGAGAGAGAGAGAGAGCGTGAGGTTGAGGGTGTGTTGATATAGTCTTCAGGAGACAGCTAATGCACCAATCTCAAATCCGCCCTTAAACTCATCACTCCAGCTCCTCTCCTCTGAACTGTGGAGAGACCCCCGTGCCCAAACCCGATCCGTGCGTGTCACAACAAAAGCAAAGGTGACTGCCCACTGCGGAAAGTGCAGGGTATTTGCATCCGCAGCAGGGAAGTGAGAAGGGTTAGTGCTAAGCCCCAGCAGTGTCTGTACTATCCTGAACCCCTCTGGGTATAATGGGAGAGGAGTTAACCAGATCATCATTGCCCTGACTAAATCCTACATATTCAGGAGTTAAAAGGTGGTAGTTTAAGGCACATCATCCAGGCTAGAATCAAACATTTTCTCCTGAAGTGAAGGGTGCGGAGGTTATCATCACTGCCTTGGAAGAGCAGCCAATGCACTTAAAAGGAATGCATTTAAAAGGCTGCAGAGCGTATCAGCGTGACGCTCTTTGATGACTACTTTTTCCCATCAGAACCTGGTCAATAATACATCAGTCTGAAACCTCCTGTTTGATTAGCCAACCTTGCAACATGACCCCAAAGGACTACAAGAGCAGGGATGCAAGCTCCGCCAGGGGACAACTCAGAGACTTTGGTAGGACTATGGTAGATGATAGATAAAGCTTTTCTATCAGACATTTTCAGGGACACTCTCAATGTGACTGGCAAAAAAAGAAACATCACTGTACAATTACAGCCATTAACATAACAGTGTTAACTGATGTGACCTTTTCTTAGTTGCTACTTCAAAGCTGTTCTTCAAAAGCCCATTTCAAAGCTGTAGTGACATTGCTTTCGTGTTATAGATCATGTTACGTCTTTGGGGAAGGTTAAAGTAAAAGGGCATTCATTTCCCTATAAATTGCACAGGGAATTGAGCTCTGCTGAATCAATACAAACCAAATCAGTGTTGGTCAATAGAAATCAAAGGAACATGGTCTGCTAAGCTTGTGTGTGTTTGTGTGGAGCCCCAAATCAGTTCTCTGGCAATAGGGAGCAACATGTGATGAATGATTGATATAACATGAGAAAACAATGCAATGACAAAAGATTATCTATTACAGTATGGTGGTGCTCTGTGGAACATCTGTAATGTCCATTTCATGCCTGCCTTTGTTTCTTCCACACAGCCACATTAAGACTTGTGGCATTTCCACTTTATGGGAGCATAAGAAATCTCTTTTTTTGTGTGTCTTTTCGCTCCAGATAGAAGTGAAATCTTGTGATTTGTGGTTATAAGGACTGGGAATGTTTGTGCAGATGCTTATGATATTAAGATACTTCAGAGAATTTAACGAACTAGCAATGATAAGAGGGTATTTGGGTTTCTGTCGGACCTCAACCAAAACACATAGGTCATAAATGTGGGGACGGTGGTGCTACAGTGGGGAACTAATAGCCTTCCTGCATCTGGTTTTCATTGTAAAGAGGATGTGTGTTTTGGATTAAATTGACATTGATTCCTCTGTTTTTCCTAAGACTCAAAAAACCCTTTACAGCTTCACCATGAAAGAGGTGTGGTGATTAAATACCATCCCTCCCTCACCTCCGCGAGATAATGGTAATGAAATTTATAAAAGACGTAATCAAGTTCTTATATGCTTCACTTCTTCTCTTCAGTGAGTTTTGTGAGGGTACAATAGCTCCCTGTGAGGTAAATTATACAGTGAGTGACATCTCACTCTGCACAGACAGGAGCAATGTGCTGTGATATTGCATTGCTTCCACCTTGCTGACTCCCTGACATCGTTGTGGGATTTAGGAGACAGACATGGGAGACCTCAGAAACCAGAGCGCCCCCGGTGAGGCGCGCGGAGGCAGCGTTCTGCTTCACGCTCTGCCGCCTTCTGCCACCGCCCAATGTCATTATGCTGCCAACACATCCAATTACAAGGAGCCGTGTGGCACGTGCGACAGCGAGCACACAAAGAGGACATCGACAGGGACGCATGTGCGCCGGCCCAACTCGAGTCCCTGAGCTCACAGTCGCCCCAACACGGGTGTCTACTGGCTAAAGAACAGCCTCAAGACGGACGGGAGCAGGAAGTTATGTTACACACTGGAAATTTATGCTTTAATGTTAGCATGAAAGGAAGAGGAAATAAAATAAAATAACTGGAGCTTTGTGGAAAAACAACACGGGGTAGATCCAAAGAGAAGCACCTTAAAGATCTCAGACTCCAAACTCAGCATGAACTTTTGAGGATCAGGTGAATGTCTCCTCCTCCGCTGCCTTAGGCACATCTGGTCTATAAGGGCTCTGAGGGTTTGACCTTGTCTGGGAACCAGCCTCTTAGGCTCTCTACTCCAGGACCAAGGGGAATAATCTTTTCTCAGGGGCCAAAAAAGAGCTTAAACCTGGAAGAGGAAGCTGGGGCCTTAACATGAAACCTTGGCTCTGCCTCTTCCTCTCCTCTCTTGTGTTTGTGCTGAGGATTATTCCATTAGCAGGCCAGAGCAGGGTCTCAAGGCGGTGGTTGGATTTGTACTTGACAGCTGCATATACACCATTTAGTGCGTCATTATGCCCTGTCGACTGTGCTGAGATTTAAAAAAATATTTACTTGTTTAATAATTAATTGGATTGATATCTTTACAGGAATTTACTTCTAAGACAGATCTGCCCTCTTGTATACAGGTCGTAGAAATAAAATTCGGCAGAAGAAGAAAAAACTCTCTCCGTGTTTGATCATGTGTGTTTCACTATGACAGATTATATCAAAGGGATCGATGGATGCAACTCCATTTGATGCAACAGCAGCAGCCACACAACCATATATTGCGATTACACACCTGCACGCAAGGCAGGAGCTGATCCACGGTAAAGCAAATGATCCACGCACAACTGAATGCTGTTGCTAAATGGCTTGGAAAATAGCCCTGCTTTACACTGATGCGAGAGAGCAAGAGCGAGCAAGAAACAGAGAGTGAAGGAAAGGGGAAGAAGAGAAAGAGACAGAAACACAGCAAGAGTGAAAGAAAGCGAATCCGAGACACGGGTACATCGTCAAGTCAGAACAGGTTCATTATCGATCTGAAGATGGGAGTGTTTTCCATTCCAGTGTACCTTAATCCCAGCATTACATGCAGTTCATCAAGTAAATGTGGGACTGATAGGAGTGTGTTGCCTTGTGGTGCCCGCATGTAACGGCCTTTTCACAGTGAATCGTTGCTAAGTGCCGATAAGATTTTCTGTCATCACTTCAAATGAATGTGATATCTGCTGTAGCAAAGCCGCCTGTTACTTTCCCTCCACAACAAACTCACAGCAGCTACCAGGGTGAGCTGGATTTCAGTATCAAGTGAAACGCATCATGCTGAGGCTGTTAGCAAGAGGGAGACGCTTTCTGAGGAGCAGCATGAGCTCTGACTTGGGGGTTTCATAACAAAACAAAAGGAATTTAAGGTTGGTGGATGGGGGAGAAGGAGCAAGATAGGAAGACAGAATAGGGTGGTGGGGGTGGGGGTGGATGATGTCTGTGTTTAGCAACTCCCAACAGCAGGAAGAGCACTGTTTTCTCCCTTCATTTCATAACCTTTTAGGTGTAATATGTTCTCTGCGAGGCTAATATGAATGGCACACTGGTGAAATATTAAACCATGGGAAAGTACCGTCGGCTGACGGCTCACTCCGAGCTCCCAGCTCAGGGTCAAGCTCTTCATAAATTCACCACTTCTACTCAGACTTATTACAAAAAAGGTCTCCTTTTTCCTTTTAAGAAAACACATTTGGCGGCTACCTGTGAAACGAGGAAATAGCTAATATGTGATGCAGCAGTCTAATAAGAGCTCAGTTCAGGCTCGAAACATATATTACCATCCATGATGTGACGTGAGACATGTGGAGAGAATAATTTATGCAACCACATGGGTTATGTCGGACTGAGTTTGAAATTTGACATATGCAGTTTAATGTATGTGTTCTCCTGACAAAAACCCTTTAACATTTTCCTGCATAATTAACCCAGCTGTGCACGCACGCACGCACGCACGCACACACACACACACACACACACAGTTAAATGCATACATCACATACTCACCTAGACAATTGTGCCCGTCATGTGCCAAGCGGAAGCCATCATAGCATGTGCACCTGTAATTTCCTGGGATGTTAATGCACTCGTGGACACAGCCGCCGTTGTAGTCAGTTGCACACTCATCGACATCTGCAGAGAGATGACACACAGGGATGTGAGCAGGTTCTTCAACAACTTGAAACAATCAAGATCCAGTTAGGGACTGAGGATGTAGAAGCAGTACTAAAGGAATAGCTTGAGATTTTGGGGAAACGCACCTATTTGTTTTCTTGCAAAGAGTTAGATGAGAAGATTGATACCACACTCTCATATCTATCTGTTAAATAAGAAGCTACCACCAGCAGCTGGTTAGATTAGCTTGGCATAAAGATTGGAAACAGGGGGAAATAGGTACCCGGGAAGTATTCGAAGGCAACAAAATCCACCTCGAAAGATCACACCTTAAGACGTGATATCTTGTGTGTTTAATCCATACAAAAACCAAAGAGTAAAAAAAGATCATTAGTTTTACAGGGGGTTAAGTGCAGGACTGCGGCTTGGTCAGCTGAAAAATTGTTCCACATATAAACCCCTTGTTTGTTTGTTTGTTTGGTACAGATTCACTGATGTGGTTTTTACTGAGCTGGTATGTGAATTTTTGGCTCACTGTTCCCAGTCTTGATGCTAAGCTAAGCTAACCAGACGCTTACTGTAACTTCATACTTCATACTTACATACCATACCGTCTTGAGAGTGTTGTTGATCTTCTCACTATCTGTTGAATTATTCCTTTAAAACCTGGGCCTAGTTCAGCCATTTGGTCCAAGTTTTAGAGAAATGAAATCCGTTTTGTTCCATCTCTACTTCCATAAGAGCACTTCGGAGGTAAACAGGGATCTGACATCAGCTGTGGTAATTAATTAGTAGGTTCACCTTTTACTGATGTAGCTTGGATATAAGCCAGAGCTTCACTTATATTGTTTTGTTTTTAAAGCATAATACTGATAGTCAAAATTTTATGCCATATTTAATATCCTAAAATTTGACCACTTTCATGCCAGGACATTGCTTTTTTCCCTTGGAATTTTATTGTTGGCAGGATATAAAAGCATCTGAAACAGCACTTTGTCCAGTATGTGCACCTTTCTACCATGACGCAGCGAATAAAGTCTGTGGTGAAATACAACAATGTCATAATTACTACAAATAACATTCCTAGACAATTAAAGGTAAAAAGGAAATAAGTCTGGAAGGAAAGTTTTAACTACTTTATGCTATGTATGTCATTGGAAAGGAATTTCTATTAAATTAGCACTCACATTATTGACATCATTGACATTACAGACTGATCGGCAGCCAGTGCTTAATAAAAGGTAATTATTGGCCATCAGACAGATGAATCAAACTAACCCCTAAAGTTGATCAGTGCTAGTAGCTAAAACTGAAGCAATGTGACACATAAATGAGAGAGCAGAGGCAGAAAGATAAAGAGAGACTGCAGATTGGCATGACAGCCTGAGTGGAGTTGTCTGTTATGGTTATGATGATGGTTGAGGGGCCCATACTGAGGAGACCTAGACAAGGTGGATTGAGAACACAGAGCACTTCAACTCAGCACTTACTGGCCCATTTAGGGCCGATGATCCTGGATGTTCAGCTCCTCTTTGAGACTGCCTCACTCGGGGCTTAATTGGACTTGACAGCAGAGGGATGGGACTGCAACAAAGAAACACTCTGCTGCTGCTCCCTGCCTCTCCACTTCCCACACATCTCTGTCATTTCCCGATCACAGCACACAATCACTCATCACTTTCCTACTCTACTCTAAACCTGAAAAACATCCTACCACATGTAAATGCAGATGTGATTCTCCTCCAATAGTTCTGAATTTGCTTTTATTCAGTGCTTGTCTCATACTAATGAGTCAACTCCCAAATTTTGTCCGTTTATATCCACTAGACACGGATTTGTCTCATGGTCAAGCTTTTATGTAACTTTTTAGAAACACCAACTATGTAATAGGAAGAATAACAAATATCAAATGAAAGACATTTTATCATACTTTTGCAGGGAAAGAGGATCCTGGCCTTATTTCTGTCACTATTCCTGTTGTTTAAACTAAATCACAAAAGCTGAAAATCAATAGTTTTTTGTTAAAGTTAAAAAAAAAAAAAAAGTGCCAACGCCCTCCCAAAAAAAATCACATCATTCATTTGTGAAGCATTAATAGATAACACATGTTTTAAAAACAATAAACTAATAATAATAAAAGCCAGTATGAAAAACAACTGGAACGGGTGGGAATAAACACAAATCAAATTTATGGAGTCATTAAAATAAAATAAAAAAATAGAAAATTAAATATTAAAAAAAATTAAATGACCTTCAAAAATCCTGTGAATCCTGTAATGATTTATTATCAGGTTTTCCTGGCTGACTTCCCTTAAGAGAAACTTACCTTCACAAACCATAAAGACCTGTACAGTGGAGGACAGATCAAGATGGTCCCATCTGATGACAACATAATGCTTCCACTTATACACACAGATATTGGCAGCAGCTACACTGAACAAAGCCTTTAGATCAACCACTAAAACTTAAAACTCCAATCTGAACCACAGACTGTACATACATGAAAGTTGGTCAAGCGTGACAGCTCTACACAACTTGGAAACATGGGAATGTTTTCTTTTTTATCATTGTCTTCATACTTTCTGCTGTCCCCGTTTAACACAAATATGTGACAGCCAGGTGCACACAGAACTTCTTGTGCATGGACAATGTCAACAGACTGTGCGACAGCATGCTCCTCAAATCGGACCACCAGTTGCTGAAACACTTATCTATTTATTTCTTTTTTTATGAGTGTTGCTTTAGAGTTTTTTGTTTTTTTTTAAACAAGCATATCAGCCTTGAGGAGCCATCAGCTAACCTTCACTTCAATGGAAACCCAATCTTGCACATATTTTACAACAGATTCAATAAAGCAAACTTTTTATAACCTACAGGCAGAAGGCCATGAAAAACACTCGGTCAAGTAAATGAAAGAATAATAATAGTAAGGAAAGAAATGACATTGTGAAATATGGTTTTGTAATAATACTAATAAAAATTGTGGGATATAATGATCCGGAGGCTTTGGGCACATTGAAAAAGGCTAGAAAAACAGACTTGTGTCTGACAGTCTATGAGGCCTGCCTCTGGCTGTGGAAATATCCCTGACTGCTTGGCAGGGCCTCTGACTGCCATTTCAGTCGCTATCTTAATTCTCTCCTCTAACATGTGCAGGAAATTTACTGCTTCATTTCATCTTGTCACAAAGGAGCACTCTGCACCTGGCTCTCCCCTCTCTCCGTCCGCTGCTCGCTCTCATCTCTCCTCCCTCTTCAGGAGAGTCTTAAAGCTAATGAGTTATGTTGAGTGAGACAGAAGCTCTTATCAAGCCTGTCACTGGCCCAGGGGCTTACGTTCATAGAGAGATACGGCACATCAACATGAGAAATGTGGCTTTTACTTCAGTGTACTGTAAAACTCCTGCCCATGCACCGGCAGAAGGGAAGAGAAAGTCTGTGCCTCCAACCACAGGTGAAAACGAGCGCATTAATCCAATCAGACTTTTACCTTCACAATGTTTGCCATCCCCTTTATAGCCTGACTTGCAGATACATTTGTATGACTTCAGGGTGTTCTGGCAGATGGCATCGATGCTGCAGTTGTCAAGCGCCTCTGCACACTCGTCCACATCTACAAAGGAGGAAAGAAGAGGGAGGGGGCGGTTAGTTGATGGAGCTGAAACCGCCTTGATACCAGTGTCACGTACATACCAGAAATAATAGTTATTTTCTGAATGTCAAACACAATGTAATTGATTGTGCTAACATTTGACCACTCTGACTGAAAGACCAAATACAAAGACACACAAATTGACAAAAGTAAAAATTAATAAGAAGATTCATATGAATCCTATTGCCATAATTTTGAGTTTAATTTGATAAATTGGTGCCATTTTCAACTAGGTTTGTTCCAAAATGACAAACCGTCTCTTATTTGTAATCACAAGTAAATATCCACTTATTGATTGTGCTGCAGTGACCTTTAACTGATGAACTGGACATTTGGCTCTTAAAAAACGCTCATGGAATTTTGAATGTTTGACTTTTTATGAAAAAAAGAAATATCTTAGAGTCTGAGTAATACATGAATATAAATTATAAATTATTAAAACAACCACAGTGAACCACAATATCCCATGTTCATGTCCTTTGCTGGATTCTTTCTCTCTGTCCCTTTATTTTTCTGTCATCTCTCCAATCCATTAAATAAAGACTGCCCAAAAAATAATTATGAAAAAACAATAAAGTCTTGAAAATTGGCATTTGACTAACAGCCTTAGTTGGGCTAAAAAGAAAACAAGATAACAGCATAATAAAATTTGCTCTGAAGACAAAGTACAACTTAGGCTGATTAACTTTGAGTCATTAATTTAAAAAGCATCTGGTCAAAACGTATCGGACAAATTGAAATTTCGATAGTGGCACTAGAAGTCAATTCAAGAAAATTCTTACTAAGGGGAACATAAATGTCAGTATTGAATTTTATGGCAATCCAGGCAATATCTGTTGAGACATTTCAATAAAACAAAAAATGTTAATGTTAGTGCGGCACTACATGAGAAGTCAGGGCATCGCAAAAGGCAATAGGATTTATCCTCTGGACATTATCAAAGTCTGTACAAAATTTCATGGTAAAGTAATTCATCAAATATTTGTTGACATATTCCAGTCTGGAGCAAAGTGAGGGGCCAGCCAACTGACTCACAATGTCATCCCTAAAGCCTTTTTGTTAGCATGGAAAAAAAAAAAAAAAAAAAATCAGTAAAAATGTGCCTTTTCACAAGGAGCATTCATTGGACAAATTTTCAGTTTTCAACATGTAATGTTTTGCATGAACTTCAATCAAAGAAGAATGTCAAATCCCAGACTAACCACATGGATTTACACCTAGCTAGCACGTCTCTCCCTGAATATCTGATGCGGGCAGAGATGAAATAGGATAAACGGTAACTGTTGTGTAACTGCAGCATTGAGTTTGAATTATAAAGGAAAGAATCTTAAAAGATAAGAACGGAAATGGATTTAACCAGAAGTATGATCAGGTTTGCCTCATGGAGCCCCTAATCCCACCAAATCCCAGTTAACTAGCCCAGGTGTTTAGGATTACCCCCCTGCACACAGGGGAAGGGCAGCTTAACAAGGTTTACATAGCTTCTAGTATCCACTCTTATCACAAACCCTCTGCAGGAGCTGGCTGATCCCACTGGGAAATGACCTGCAACCTAAACCCCTGAGCTTAGCATATTGCCTATATCTGCCTGTTCCTGGAGGACATGAGATCTTCTGTGGAAAGGAGGACAATGACAGTGCAGAATTCACAAAAGTTTGTGCAAAGTTTGTATCACAAGACCAAATCTAATACACCCATGACAACACCTTCAGGCAAACACAGTGGAAACATCACAATAGCAGGTTACTAATGCTGGTATTACTCCAGGAAGAACACAAAGCTGTCTTTAGTTGGAGAGTCACGTACACATACTCATCCTGCTATTATGCAAGCTCAACAAAAAGTTTGCAGATGCAGTTTCCAGTGATACCTGATGACTGTGTAAAAACCATTAATCTGACTCAAGGTTAGGTTTGATAAGACTGACAGCCTGTAGCAACGCCACTGGCTCTGCGAGCCTGTACTTAAGACACGGAGGTGCTTTGAGTTTGGATGCTAACATGCTCACAATGGCAACAGAGAGCTGAAGAGAAAATAGAACTTTCAGTTCGGGTCCCAGAAGTAATAAAATCCCTAATAAAAAAGGGAAATTTGTAATAACGCAAATACCTAAAACAGTCTTGCCAAGCATATTACAATTCAAACTGAGGGGGACAATTAATGTATGCACCAAATTTCATGTTAATCCATCCAACACTTCTCCAAACATTTTTAATTAAAAAAACAAAAATGTCAAATTCATGGTGGCGCTAGAGGAAAAGTCGGGGATCACAAAGCCATTTAGTGATGCAGGAGCTCCTCAAACCCTCTATTGATTTGTATTATGTGAAAACAATATGAATTCACCTGAGGAGCAGTCTGGGTCCTTTCTCCTTACAGTCCATCTTCCAGAATAAGAGCATGACAGGCCGTGTGAGGAAGTGTTTTTCAATAGAGGATGTATTAATCACAACAAAATATCTGTCTTATTGTCAGGTTTCTTTGTGCCAAGTCTCTCTGGTAATTAATATTCATTATGACAGAAACTCAAAGAATCCCTCTTTTCATCTTGTTATTAATGTTTCCATCTGGAGCATCAGTTCACTTTATCTTTCCAGTCTGCAAGGTTGTCAACTCTCGCACTTTTACTTTGAGACACACACAAACACACTCTTAGGCTCGCACACTCCCATTTTTCAAACACGCCTGAAGTTGGAAACTGCATTTACAATTCAAAGATTAACAGCACAACACATCAACTGTCAGCACATCAGTTTAACCTGTATAGCTGTGATATTTATATCTGTATACAGTATATATGTGTGAGTGTGTGTGTGTGTGTGTGTGTGTGTAGTGCAGGAAAACGTCACTTGTGTATTTTTTTTCACTATAACTCTCAAATTTGCATCCAAAACAGGTTGATACTGTCGTCGCTTCAGGCCATTGTTGAGTGCAAAAGCGCAGCTCTAGATATTGAGCTGTAAGTATCTCCACTGTTGGTAAGTGCCATGTTGTGATACATAATAACATCAGTAGAAATTATGACAGAGAGAAGCTTGCTGTGAATTTCATGTTGTAAAACAAACAAAACAGAGTCTATGTTTGGTAAAACCATCTACACCGGTGACATTATGTGACTGTGCTAAGGCTGTTCCCTCCTCAAAAGTTTCCTTTGAGCAGTTGGCAATTAACTACAACTTTAATAACTTTAACTTTATTTGCATCTTTGTGCAAATATTACTCACAACCTATCCTCTGTAGCATGGCACAGTTAAAGCACAAGCTAAGATTTCACTAACAATGAATATCGACATATGAAAAATAACTTAACAGCCTGTGCAAACTGTTTTCCTACAGTGAGCAAACTATTTACCGAGATCCGGAAATTAACTTGGACTCAGACAGACATATAATGGACACTAATGTCAAATGAACTCATAAGACTTCCACGTTCCCATCGCCCTTGGTGTGAGCTCCACAAAATGAAATAAATACAAATGAAGAAATCCTGGCCCACAAACTACACTCATCCATGTCTGTCAAAACATTGTTTAAAAAATCCACCCATAAAAGTTACTGGGAGCGTTCCAATGGACACATGGACAACAAAAGCTAAACTGACTGGTCTTGTTGGAAACCCAAACTGACTTTGCCATGGAAATAAACATGTCAGAATCAATAGACCCTTCGCTTCAGTTCAGAGGACGCTCCTCTAAGAGCTTGAGAAAAAAAGAAAACATGCAGCATTTTCAGTAATGCTGCCCTGGTAATTGACTCATGCCAGAGATGAAAAGATTGTGTTTTTCATTGAGAGTTTCTTTCATTCTTTTGTGCTGAGGAATCACAGTTGTTGGGAACAAGTTAAGGCAGCAGAGGATGAAACCGGCGCTTTGAGACAAGGATGAATAAACAAAGTCAAAACAACAAATCCAAAGAAGAAAGATGTTGGGCAATGCTCAGATGTTTAAACATTTTACTGCGGGGAATGTGTCATTTTGAATATTGCTGCTGCTGTGGCTCTCCTCTGGTTCATGCACTTGAGCATATTAAAGCCACAAATAGCTTGAGCCTGTGTTTAAACCCACTGACATTCTTGGAATATTGAATATTGAATTCGATGATTTTGTTGGATGAAACCATGTCGCGCAGTAATGAAGCAGGTTTTCGTTCTCCTGAAACCAATTTACATCATGCTCCATTGTATGCTCAATAAAACTTTCAATTTTGCAGTATGTCAAACATCTAAATCCCTCAATGAATTGTTGCATGTTCTTGCCTCAGCAAAGCAAACTTTTCATTTTCGGGGGCTGGAGTTAGCGGGGATGCAGGCCTAAGTGGGCATATAAAAGGGATTTATTATAATTGTATTAAATTTGCTGGATAAAACGTCCTTATTCCTTCAGAGGTGGTGATTAGGAAAGTTACTCTGAAAAGCCATTCGTCCATTTATTCCAAAGCAGTCCCCACATGTAAGTCAGAGCTGCCAGCTAAGGGCTGCTGGCTGTGGAGGTGAGACCTTGTCAGAGGTGCTTTCCTCTCTGATTTATTGGAAGGCCCTGGGATAAGCAGTGTATTTAGCTGGGCCAACTCGAGGGGGTGTTTGCAGGAATAAGACTCAGAGGGGAGAGCGCGAGTGTGTGGGAGAAGGTGTGTAGTTCAAACATAGGGTAATGTTTACTTTGAGTGTTGAGACCCTTGCTGTTTGCTTTGCCCCAACCCACCGCCCCACCTCCACTCCCTCTAACCCATCACCTCTCCTTCAGATACAGAAATAGACTTGAGTGTAGCTGGGACACCCATAGGTGTAGCTTTACTCGCACCGCCTGCAGCCAACTCCAAAATAATTGTCAAAAATATGGACCAAGTGATGCATTCAGTCAGTGAGAGCAATAAAATATTCAGCTGCGTTTTTCCTGACAGAATGACTGGGTGCAACATTTGAACATCTGCGGTTACGCATTAGAGACAAAACACTCTTTCTT